AATTATAGTATTCAATTTAAGTCTGGGGCATTCTGAGTCCCCACTCCAAGAGGCAGCCCTATTCGAACACGGCCGCGATTAACAATGTCCGATATGCGCGGGGTCTTTGGCTCAACTTGCAATTTTAGGAGCGATTATGCTAATTGTGCGTGGCACCACGGACAGCGAGGGGGTAGACCGTCAACGGGAGATAGCTGCCACGATAGCCACGATAGGGGTAGTCCATGCTTTACGATGCAACGCAAACAGTTTGTCATCTTAAATTATATTTTCGTGCTTGACCCGTGCGCGTGCTAGAGATGGTAAACGCGAAAAGGCACTAAAAACACGACCAAAGCGTACGATACCACATTTTCGTAAAAACAAAACTTTAATCACAAGCAATAAAGCTATCTTAAGCTACTTTAATAGAAATTGTTTACGATATGAACTATATAAAACATGCATATATATTTTAATAAAAATAGGAATGTAAGCAGACCTTAAACTTTGAAAAAGTCATCCTGCTGGCTGAGGTTTGAGATATTGAACTTGATATATTTGAAAACGACCTTTAATGCTTAATAAAACATACCAAAGTAAATATATCATTTAGATCGAATTTAATTGATCTGCATTTGGGCAATTGCCACATTTTCGGCACGCGTCCATCTCTATAGGGAACTGGAGTTTACCTGAAGGTACCTTCCCTATAGGAACCATCTCAATTTAGTGCAATTAATGCAACAAATTTGTGTATTTTACATTGAAGGCTGTTCTCGGTTTTTGTTTTTGGCAAGCAGCAACAGCAATTTGCATAACGAATTGCCGAGCACAAGCACAAGAACAAGAACTAGAAAATATAGAGTATAATAAATATTTAAATTTTATAGAGTTTCCCCTGCCCTCTCCGCAAGACATCCCCGAAAGCGTTAAATTTACGACAGGTTGGCTGGAAAAACGCTCGACATTTATAGGCAACATGGCGTCGTCAGCGGATTGGTGCAGCTCACAGAAAAAACTAAAAGAAAGCCCTAGCCCAAGCCCCCTGCTTGTCCCCCCCGAACCGCGGCCATTTCGCATGCGCGCGCATTTAAATGCACTTCCGTTTCTTTTTTTTCGCAAATTATTGTGTTTGTGTATGTTTCTGTGTGTGTGGCTTGTGGTGTGTGTGAGAGTTAAGGGGCGTCTTGAGTTTTTGCTCGTTTACCTTGTTGCAGCGCTTGCCATAAATTCATAACTTTGTGGAAAATCATAAAAACTGAATTTATGACTTAATTATATACATATATATATATGAATGTGTATATAATATATATAGAGGACTTAGAGTTTTGGCCACAGGCACAGGCACAGCCGCAGCCGCATTTCTTGTGCCTCATTTCACGCTGATGATTAAGTGTCGCACACTCACACTCACAGCCAACACTCAAACACTCAAACACCCATTCACTCATTCACTTATTCACTGTCGACTCGGTCTGAACTTTTCGCCTGCATTTATGCTTAAATGCGCTGCAATTGTTCCTAAAATGCAGCCACTGCACGCGATGATGGAAAACTTGAACGATTTTCATTTCTTTTTTCTTTATATACCCTACAGTCTAAGAAGTTGTAGATCGGAGGTAGTATGAATTGGGTAACATGTTTATGCTGGGGTAGTAAAAGGTAGCTTCAAATTTACAAAGCATACTTATTCGTAATCAGATTATTCAAACGATTCTATCTAGCTGTATCTTTCTATCTACCCATATATCAATCTATCTATCGAAGTCATCGCAAATACTATAGGAACTAGAACTCTAAAGTTTGGATGATGCACTTTTATACATGATATACGAATAGGAAAACGGGTTTTTTACAGTGTATATTATAGTCGCGCCAACAATAGCCATACGTTTAAGTGTACTTTAGGGTATAGGGTATTTCTTAGTCGAGCCCACCATTCTGTCTATATGATTTTAGCCAATTTTTTTATTCGCTCTATTGCAGTGCATAGCTTGCAATTACGAGCTGCATTTGCCGCTGATTATTATTATTTCTTGTTTTATGAAAATAACTTTTATTTGCAGCATTTTTTATTGATTATTTATTTAAAAGTTTTTCCTTTTTAAGAACTGGGTTAAGAAGCGTCCAACGCAGCATTTCCCACGTTGCGGAGACCAAAAAGATGCTATCCGAAAAGCTGCTGCTGCTTCGTTTGTTTTGCTTTGAGCGATCTGCACATACACACACACACACACACACACAGGTGTGTAGCTGTGTTACCAGGCACCTGGCCAGACAGCTTGTCTATAAAAGCCAGCCTTAGAGCAAACCCTGGTCAAAGAATTTCTTGCATAAAGCCAATTAAATTAAGAAATCTGATGCAGTGCCAATGATTTTTTTGTCTTTCTTCTGCTTGCGTTTCTCTTTTAATACTCTGTTCGCTAAGTGGAAGAGGTAGGTTGGGTTTTTAGAATACCCGTCCGCTTGTCCGTCTAAATCTCCTACACATGTATACCTTCCACAGCAGCCAATTCTGACGAGCTCCTCGTAAGATCGAACGAAGAATATTACGTCCGCAAATTAAAAAATTCAAATTTTCGAAAGTCACAGTTTGAATATCCCTGCTTAGCGATTACAGTTTCAGAGTCCGCAAACCACGAGAAGACGCTTTTAAACAGATTTCAGCTGTTTCCAGAGTGCAAACAGAGTATAGCGCAGTCGGTTGCAATCGACATGTTTCAGTTTTCTTCAAGCAAGAACAGGCAACAGGAACGTGAATCACAACGCGAATGCAGGCACAGCAATTGGTATTTTACAACAAACAGCGCTCGCGTCCAGCTTATTTAACATAAATCGAATGGCTACTGAAATACACGTCCTCCAGCCTGGGCTTATCTTCAGTCGAGGACACTGTTCGGGGTCCAGTCCAGAGTCTGCTGTCTTCTGGCAATTTTCATTGAGTAAAGCGAGGAAACGACCTTTACAAGAATTGCCAGAGACGAAGTCAGAGTCAGAGTTGGAGACAAATCACGACCCGTAAACAAGGCAGAGGGCAACTGTCAGAGACCAACAAACATATCTGCACATGTACTCAGCGGGGGCGGGTGTCGTCAGTTTCACACCTCAAAAGCCAAAAGCTGACCCAACTAATAAGCCAGGCAACTGCAGCTAACAGTGAAGAGACCACAGCAACAACAACAACAACAACAACAACTTGGCATAATAAATAAAAGCCAAGTAGCTGCCTTAGAGTCTGCCTCTGTAGCTGGCCAAGTCTTTGTTGATCTTGCCAACCACGTTTATGCGTTAGCTAAACACAATTAACAAATAACTCGGCTTTCTGAGCTTATAGCAATCGAATCTAGGTATAATCTGTGATTATGTTATTGAAATGGCAGAAATTCAACTAGAATTCATGAATCATTCATTCGCAGTCAACTTATTGCACGCAGAATGCTGCCAGATCTATTGAATAAGAAATATCAAAATGGTGCAAAAGTTTAAAATCTTGCACAGTATCTAAGATATAAAGTCGAATTGGATTATGGATTATTATTGGCATAAACAACTGGCAGCACTTGATATCTTTATAATACAAGCAACATTCTGTACATAGGTTTATATGTGGAATACCTTTCAGGAAATTCAATTTAAAAATATATATATGCATCATCTTGCTACTAAGTTCCTGGTAAAGCTCATGTTAGTGGACATGAGCTCATACATTTTATTTAGCATTCACAGTCCCAGAAATTGTAAAATAAACACATAGACTTGGGACATTGGCAAGTTAGCTAGGTTGGCAAAACTTCAGGCAGGGCCTGTAAACATTTTCTAATCGCCAAACAAATACCTAGCAGTTCAACTTAGTATCTGTCTCATTTTAACATGCAGATTAACCAAAAGTCTTTTAATTGAACTAAATGTCAATGTATTTATTAGCTAAGATGGGAACCTTTTTGGGTATAACAAGAAAATCATTATTGTAATATGCGTCGCATAAACGTAGCTTCACTGTGAGTACGAATGCAAGTTGGTGAGTTGGCCGGAGGCTGGCCTGGTCTGCGATTTTCACAAGTTGATATCGCAAACACAAAATGTTAATGAGCAATTTCGAGATGGTGCGAAGTGATTTCATTATTTAAACTTCTTTTTTTCTTTGGCAGTTGTTTTTTTGCAGTCTCAACTCGAAGCTTGGTCTGTTGTTACTTGGGTTTTTGTATTGACTGTTGGTTTTCTTTCTTTTTTATTTTTTATTATTATTACGTCTGGTTCATTGGGTAATGAAAGCGAAATAATTTTAATTGGGCCGCTGGCAGCACTTCTTTCATCGCAGCTCTACGAAAGCGCCCAAATTAATTATTTCCTGTCAAATTAATTTTATTTTTCTTTTTTTTGTTTCTTGCAATTTCTGGCAAAAATTACGTTTTGAGTCAATGAATATGCAACACAGAAAGTGTCACCTGTCGCAGTTGCTTCAGTTGAGACAGTCTCCAGGTCTCCAGCTCTCGGGTTCCTCAGTTACTTCAAAACAATGTTCCGCCGCATAAATTAATGGCAACAACGTTGATCAATTGGGTCGCATTTGATGATTAAAACATAAATTGCAATGGATGCGAACCCTTTGCAAATGATATCATATATATGTATACAAGGTATGTCTATAGGGTAGTTAAAGGGGTTGCTTGACGCGCACTAAAATTACACTTAATTAAACAGCAGGACATTAGCGTTTTTTATTTAAAACTGAAAGACAGGGCATGCATGTTATCCCCTTAACTCCTTGGAAAGTATTTAACATGTTCTGAATGAAGTGAATACAGTATGACCTGTATTGAAATGTGCTACAAAAGGGCATATTGCAGGGCATATCCACCAGGCATATAGATATATGCATTTTCCATTGTGCGGGACAGATATTTGTTACCATGGCTGGGCACTAGGTACAGGGTATCTCCTGGTTGGGCACTCTCAACTGGAGCACTCCTACTTGTTTTTTATTTTATTATATCGTAGGCCTCGTTAAAAATGTTACAACAGCTGCTGCTGTACCTCATGACACTGAATATACCCAGCATCTACCCGACGTGCAGCGTGTCGCGCGTTATCATGCGCGTGCCCCGAGAGAATGATATAGGCCTCATCTTCGGTAAGCCAGAGAATGCACAGCTCGAGCAGCTTAAAATGTACGCCTCATCAGATCTGACTGTTTCCAATCAAAAAAGGGAAAAATCGGAAATGCTGGAGTTTACCGTGAACTCAAATGGCGTCTGTACATTGAATTTGACCAACGGCAAGCAGGTCAAGGCAGGCACCATTTTTGGCGGCGACTTTGGCGCGATTGAACCAGGGAGTAGCGTCACCGTCTCCCTAGTGTGGCCCACTGTGGTCAGTTAGCAGGTACCTAAGCTCATTCTGTGTACGTTTTATAACATTAACTTTTATTGTAGTCCCTTTACAATCGAGTTGGCAGCTGTCCCATAGTCATCAGCAGCACGAATCACCTGAACGAGGTGATCAAAACGAATCAAATTTTATACTTTGATACACGCTTTGAAACCTTGGATCCGAGTAATCATTCCCTGCGACGTCTCAAGGATTTTACCGACTGCAAGAACTGGGATAAGAACTATTTACGCAATTGCACGCCCCTTAACTGTGAGGAGCGATATTTTGGCAAGCGCAGCTTTTACAATCGCACGTCGGGGGAGTGTGAACCGGTGCCGTCCTGTTTTGGAGAGGGCGTGATATATGACTTCTATGCTAATGAGTGTATGGATATGAACAATTTCATAACTGATGAGGAAATAGAGCAGCTAAAGCAGGGAAAATTCGATAATAACTTGCTGGAGCTGCAGCCTTACGTGAGAAAGAAAACCGTGAGTGAAAAAATATTTAGCGCCATCTATGAAAATACATAAACCTACTTAACATTTAAACTGATACTAGCACCATCTGTCGTTTATCATATAAATTAAAATGTGCAGCCAACTTAACTTAAGAATCAATATGTATACATAGCCTTCGCTATGCAATGCTTTGCTTACATACTAAAAATTTTCGGTCATGCGCAAATGGCGCCGTGGCTTAGTTGGTTAAAGCGCCTGTCTAGTAAACAGGAGATCGTGAGTTCGAATCTCGCCGGGGCCTATGGGACATACAATTGTAGTTGTGTTGCGTCCTGAATTTATTTTTAAATATTTTTTTATTTTTTAATAGCTTCAATCAACTGAAAAGAAAACTGAACTCAACAAGCAAAAGCCAAGACAAATGTTAAAGGAATGCAACTTTGCTGCCAAATTATCCCTTGTTGACTTCAACAATTGTTTTCAGCATCTAAAAGATATAGACACATCAACGCAAGACTACAAAGAATCCTCACAAACCAAAAAATTAAAGAAAAAATCAACAGGCACCTCTATATTGCGAAGCTTCTATTATGATTGGTATGTGCCACTAAATAAAGAAAGTGATTTGGAGAACACACATCATAAAAGGAACAGTGACGATAACAGTACAGGAGAAGAAGCTGATAGTAGTAGCAGTGATGAAAAGAGTGACAGCTATTCATTACCAAATCACAAGGAGAGGCCCACCAAGGTCACGTCGGGAACAATTACTTTAGTGCACAAATTGGCTGCATATAGTGCAATAGAGTGGTTTATTATGACTATGGAAATGCTGCTCATTGTGAGTTCATGTTAATCAATTAGGTATATCAGTAGCAGCAATTGATAATCAGTAATTGTTTCAGATCTCATTGGTCATTATATTTCAGATCGTCGTCACTTTTTTCACCTACGCAGTGGTATGTACGACTGTCTACGGATTTCTGGAGGTTTTAGCCGAACTACAACCGAATAAAGTCACCGGCAGTCACTTAGGCAAGAAACTGACGCCTCGTCACAGACGTGTCCAACATGAGATTATGACCTCAGCTAGTTTAATGTCACAATTAAAATGAAATGTTATTTATGTATTCAGCTTAGCTAATTGTATTTAATGTTTATTTGTTTCTTCTCTGAATTTTATTTAAAAAATATACAAACGCGGTCTCAAATTTTAAACCTGAGAAGGTTCATTTGTACAAAGAACTCTTTTGATTGATTCGATAAATAATAATCGGATATTTCGACGAATATTGTTCCATAGAGGCAACTTCTTGTTACTTCGCCTTTAAAACAAAGTGCTCAACAATTTTGATTAGGCATTAATGTTTGATTCAATAGTATCTGCATCTGGATATGCTAGACGCCAAAAACATATGTTCTTCTAATTTAACGAACCCGACTGTGATCTAGTTCATTTGTTCATTTTATTAAGTCGTTCGATCGAACATTTTCCGAACGATTTGATACAACAAGCACAATTTTCAATTCAAATTGATTAAATTTTTTATTTGGACACCAAAACCATGTGGTCATCGGACGAGCTTATATTCCGCAACTTTACAGAGCTTAAGAACCTTAAATTCGATGACGAAAAGGTATCCACAACAACATCCAGGGAGCAGGTGAGTAATCAACGTTCGTGCTGATGGCTTATAAACAACAGAGAGCAAAAACGATTTTCGTTTCGCGTTTAGCAAAAAACTGAGGATTCGGTTGAGAAGTGCTATGACCGCTTCGAGCAGACACAATTCCTCAATCCTCGCGTGACTCAGCTAAACCGCATACAGCACCAACAGTATTTGGATCTGATGCTGCGCAATCTGCCATCGAACTACGAGTGCTTGGATAGCAGTCGTCCCTGGTGTATCTACTGGATACTGCAGTCGGCGCAACTGCTAAGCTTCACCTTCGATGAGCAGACCCTCGACAGTGTTGTGCAGTTTCTCATCAAGTGAGTTAATTGTACGCCGGCGGTGGCCAGACATAAACTGCTTCTACTTTAATGCTTGCAGATGCCGCGCACCCACGGGCGGTTTCGGCGGCGGACCTGGTCAATATGCGCACCTGGCGCCCACCTATGCTGCCGTCAACAGCTTGTGCATCATTGGCACCCAGAGCGCGTATCGCGCCATCGATCGGGACTCGCTAATTCAATTTCTGTTTAGCGTGCGCGATGCGGATGGCTCCTATCGCCTGCACGTAGATGGTGAGACGGACGTGCGAGGCGCATACTGTGCCATATCCTGCGCCAAGCTCACCAACGTCCCTGAGCCGGTACTGAAAGAATTATTTGCGGGCACCGCTGACTGGATCGCCAGCTGTCAGACCTATGAGGGTGGATTTGGTGGCGCGCCTGATTTGGAAGCGCATGGTGGCTATACGTTTTGTGGCATTGCCAGTCTCGCGTTGCTCAACCAGGCAAATAGGTGTGACAAGAAAGCGCTGCTGCAATGGACACTGCGACGTCAGATGAGCTATGAGGGTGGCTTTCAGGGACGCACCAATAAACTAGTAGATGGTTGCTACTCGTTTTGGGTAGGCGCTACCATTCCAATAACGCAAGCTACGTTGGTTGGCTCGGACAAAAGCATGGATCAGACACTTTTTGATGTTGAAGCTCTACAGGAATACATTTTGCTATGTTGCCAAAAGGCAAATGGAGGTCTGATCGACAAGCCCGGCAAGTAAGTGAAGAGCCCAACGCTGAACCTGTCACCTGTCACCTGTATTTGATTATCCCTTTTTCTTTTACCTAAAGGCCACAAGATCTATATCACACCTGCTACACGCTCAGCGGCGTTTCAATTGCACAGCACTCGGAATCCGCTATGCATCCACAAGTGCTAGGCGACATTATTAACGAATTACTGCCCACCCATCCACTGTTTAACATACCACCGAAATCAGTCGCAGCAGCTTTAAGCTATTTTGCAAACAATTCCAATAAGGATGGCAACGATAGTACCTGGCGAACGGAGAATTAGAGAATATTTGCAGAACCGAATGATGTACATAAACGTTGAAATTTAGTTGGCAATCAAAAATATTATAAATTTCTACATACTACGAACTAAATTTGTCTAAATGAAAATCAATAGCTTAATGTGTTTTAATTATTTACAGCTTATTAAATAACTGCTTAAAACTAAAATATCCTGAGTATATACTCTTCACTGTGAAGCAGCTGTTATATTAAATACTCGAGTTGAATGGCTACGTTTACAAGCGAATGGCAACTCAGTTTTGTATTTTAAACTTACCTGTTGCATTGAGTAGTTGCATAGTTGTCATTCTAGATGTTTTCTAGCCATCGTCGTTTAAAACGCAAGACTCCAGCGGAGGGCATAGATCGACGCGAATATATTGGCCACCTTGTGGACGAATATTACATCTCAACAAACGTCGGTAAGCGCTTGACTCGCTAGCGTCGGCATTACAGATACCAATATCGATAAATCCCTAACAGAGGCCCAGGAGCAGGTAACCGCTAACTTGGCGAACTTTGCCTACGATCCGATTAATTGGCCCCATTTGCACGAAGCCGAAGCGTTGGATGTATTTGTGGCAGCTTTGGATACGCAGAACCCCAATCTACAGCTGCATGCGGTAGCGGCGTTGTGTAATTTTTGCTTGGGTAACGTTTCTTAACAGTCAATATGTAAGGTATTTAATAATTTGTTTCAATTTACAGACAGAAACGCCGCCAAATTTATAATTGAACGTATAGCTATAATTAGAGGCTTGTTCCTGCGCACAGAGCACGCTGATATTGTGCTGCACTGCCTAACACTACACTATCAACTGCTGAGCGCGGGATTGGGTACCAAGGATCAGCTCATAACGCCAGCATTGCTGAAGCGCGTGCAGTACTGGCGCCAGGAATCCAACGACGAACGTGTTATCAAGCTTTGTGTAGTTTTTCTGGAAGATTTTGGCAGCCGCAGCGAAGTTACCGAAATAAACAATGTTCCAGCAGTTACGCCGTCAACTGTGCAGTCAGGCGCAATCCAAACTGCGACAGGTTCAGGTGGTAAAACGCTTCACTCAGCAGGATCTTGAGACATTCGCCCAGTTTACTGGAGACTATAACTTTATACACGGCAAAGACATGCCCGTTGAAGAACGGCGCGTTCATGGTGCCCTGCTTAATGCAGTTGTGGCTGGCATCATAGGCACACAATTGCCAGGACCAGGCACTGTGGTGTTGGAACAAAGCTTCAAGTTCTTGAAACCATGTCGCATAGAAACAGACACCCTGGTGACTGTGCGTCTGCTACAAGCGCGTAAAATAGCCACCGTGGAGTACGAGTGCAGACAGCACGATGATGTGGTCTTTGCTGGCCATGCCAAATTGCTGACACGCAAAGCTGACCCTTAGTTTATGCAAATAAATCAATTTACAATTACTTTTTGTGTATGTATTAATCAATCTATTTCTTGGTTGCACGTTTGCCCTCGCCCTTCTTGGGCGGCGCTTTTCCACGCAGCTTGCGTAAGCGTTTCATTTCCTCCTTAAAGTCCTGATGCTCATCACGAAATAAGCCATAATCGCGCAGATTTTTCATAAGCAAATGAGTTTCCACATGTCGCGGATACCAGTTGACAACATAGTCGCGTTTCTGAATGGGCTCCTCTGAGAACATACGAACAACCTGTACAAAAAAGTCCATTAATATATGTATATTTCATAAATAACTAAATTTAAAAGCTGTATGAAACCTTCATAGATTTGTCGTTTGTTGTGCGCGCCACCTCGCCAAATATGCGATTCGACAGATAATTCATGCGCCGTGCGTACTGTGTCCCGAGCTTAATAAGCTCGCTGTATTTGTAGGACATTTTTAATTTAGCTTAAGTTTACTTATATTAATAAAGCAATTGGGGTTATGTCACTCAGCCGCCACACAAACAAGAAACAGCTGATTAGTGATGGTAACTTATAGTTATCGATATCGATATGCATATCGTGCAACTATTAACACTAACGAACCTTAATTTTTAAATGCTGACTGAATGATATACTACTTATCGATGTTAAAAGATTTTCCATCCATTAATATGCCAGAGGAAATTCCCTTTTAGGAGGATGTAATGTTAAGCAAGAATTTTAGAGCAAACTCCACATTCCTTTATTTTAGTAACTTTTTGCAAATTGGAAGTTTACAAAAAAAAACCGACAAATGCGAATAAGTTAAAGGCAATTCAGTTTTTTTAATAGATCGAAAACGCTCAAAAAAAAGTATTGTTTTGATTGAGTAATGAATAATGCATGGGCTTTAAAAATGAAAAAGTCATCAAACACCCTGTATTTTTGTTGACTTTTTCACTTCAGCCTGACATTTCAAATTCGTCAAATCAACGTTTATTTCTAAATGAAAGCTAAAAGTAACAGTAAATGGAATTGAAAATTGCAGCGACAATTTACCTCTCTATTATGCACAGTAGATTACAATGTTGTCACACCACTTAAATTGTTTTTAAACCGTTTCAATGTTGCTTCGGCCCTTTCGTCTGTTCTCAACATCAACATCATTGCCTATAAAGGACGTTTCCTCGGAGCTTTGTGCCGGGAGCACTTCTCTGGCAATGGTTACGCCACCATTCAGTTGGCTTAATAGAGCATTCGTGCCCAGATACGACGGTTCCCGTGGCGAACCGCTGTGCACCGATACTTGATCTACATGCAGCACGCGAGAGGGCGTATGCGAACGAGAGGATGGAGATGCATTGCCCACAGCGCTGCGCGAGTGTGGACTATTATTGCGTGAATGTTGAAAATCCTCTAAAGGGATTTCCTCTGAACTGCAAAGCAAAGATGTAAGTTATCATAATAAAATCTCTTGAATTAAACGCACCGTGGTCTTGGCATACGCGGACTGCTCTCACGGGAGCGATTACCGGAGCCGCGCGCCTGTGAGTTTTCTCTAGACTGGGAGGAGCTGTGGCTGCCGCCACTGACACTAGGTGAACGATCGCGATCCAGAGCTGTGTTTCCCAGCCGCTGCGACAATGATGAACTGGAGCCGGCATTGGGACTTCGTCGTCGTGAGCGGCTGCCGCTTTCATTCCGTATGCTTAAATTGAATATATACATATATAACTATATAAATATATTCATATCGGATTTACCCCTCTAGGGAGCGATTCTGCGCCATCTGCGTGCGACTTATGCCGGCGCTGTTGTTACCACGCAGCACTGCCGCAAAGCCTGGCACTCGACTCGCTGTCAAATTGGCACCCTTTTGCGCCAGGCGCGTATTGCCACAACTTGTTGAGGTGCCACACACTGGAAACAGCGGCGAGTCCAGCTGGCCGGGAATTTCAATAAGCTGTGCTATTTGATACATTTTCTTCTGACGCGCCTTGCTGCGACCCTTTGTCAGACGCTGTTTGGCCGCCATGCACCGTATATGATCGTCGAACAAAAATTTGGCAGAGAGCTGCGGCGTGCGATTATGGGTGACGCCGCCGCGATGCACTGTAATGTGCAGGCAGCGTGAATCATCCTTGTCACCCTGCACCTCCACATCTTGGAGAAAGCCCACAAATTTGGCCACGCCCCAGCCCAACAGCTTGGCATCGGGCTCCACGAGTATGAGTTGCAGTGCATCAATGACCAGGAAACGCCGCTGCTTAGCATTTTCCTTTGACACAACAGTGCAGGCAATTAGGTCGCTGTTGTCTACCAGGAGTACATTGATTATAATTTGCTAGCAGACATTTTCATCAAAACTTACTCAGATCGAGCACATTCTCCACCTGCACCAGATTTACTACGTTCGTCAGCGGCAGAAGCGATTCCTTCTCATTCAAGAACTTTTGGCACGTGCGACGCAACAGGAAGTATACGCGAATGGCGCGTCGAGCCTTCTCCACCTCACCGCACGGCAGGCGCCGGGTAAAGCCAATGCCTGTTAAAGGCGTGCCCGTTGGCGGCAGCAGAATGTTCGAGTCCATACAAAGAAACTCCACATTTAGCTGTGCCTTGCACATCTCATTGTACTCATCCTCGAACAGATCTAGGAATATGTCCTCCGATTTGTAAAAGTTTCGCAGCACAACCATCGACTGATTGCGGGCACTGAAGAGCAAACCCTGCTGCGTGGCCGTTATGCAGGGCGCCTCATCCGCAACCGGCTTGGTGAAAGTCAGCAGCAGCTCCAAGGCTATCTCAACTGTGATCAAACGTATGCGACTGGCTGCACATGAAGATGAAGAACAATTAATACAATTCGATAATAAACGTTCATGTACGTTTTGTAATGAAGATTGTGTGATTATGGTCTTTCGGATAGTCTTGATGCAGTAGGAATGAGAATAAAAAACTAAGCTGGAACTTTTTAACTTAAAAAAATAATTTTGCGAATTTAACAATTAATAATGAGTATGCAAGGAAGAGATCTAGGTAATCGGACAGTCCATAACTTATAAAATATAAGACCTAATTCAACCCAATTGAAAAATAAAACGTTTACGAAAATGATACAATAATGGAAAATATACCCGAAAGGGTACTAGTGCTTTACTTACATGGTAGGCTGGAATGAGTGATGATATTAAGCAGATGCTCAATTAGCGCAGTCTTATAGCTAAAAGAGCCACGCATGGACTTGGAGAGCACCTGCTCGAACCATTCGTTCTTCATGCCTGTGAACAGAAACGAGAAGAGTTACTTATAAGCAAGTTGTGGTACAGCTCCTAGGGACACATTAGTATGGGGGAATGAACAAGTTACATACCATCTGGTACAGAGTGCCATATTGTGTATACATTATTGTGAATCATTTTTTTTCACACCACACAAAAAAAGCAGTGAAATGAGCATTGCAAAGAGCAGAGAGAGGTGAGAGAGGCAAAGTTAGATGAGAACCGGAGCAGCTGATGTGTAGCTGAATCTCTATATACTTGGTCACAGTCAAACTTACCTCGATTGTGGGACATGGCGTATATGAGGCAGAGTGATAATAGGGCCAGATAATCATTCTCTGTGCAATCGAGTGCCTGTAACACGGTGTCCAGAAAAGGCTTGGCTAGCTCAGTGAAAGCCTGCGTCGATGTGGACTGCTGCAGCATCTGTTTCTCCTCGTCGGTTATGTTGCGCAACCTAGTGGCTGCAGCCTCAGCAACAGTTTCTATGTGCCTGCTTGTGGGCGTTGTGGTCGTCGCAGCTGTTGACTCCACGCCGCTGTCCTCGCTAGCTGCATCGCCGCTGTAGTTTGCCGTATGGCCTATAACCGTGTCCAATGCCTGTTCGAGACTCTCGTGCGGCTCACCAAAACCAGGCACCACCACTTCGCGATGTTCCGTATAGGAGTTGAGTATTTCGGCAGCGCCTTCTTTGAAAACGCTATGGTCACCATTTAGAATGACCCAGGCGAGGGCGTGTACAAGCGGCGCATGATTGACAACCAGAAACACGAGCGATAGCAAATATAGCGCCACAATTGAACTAACACGCGGATTATGCATTTCCTGAATGTCTATGTCCACATTGCGATTCAGCACAGCCGCCAAATTCTGCGTGACCAATGCCAACGAGGGCGGCGGCGGCGCTGGCGTCAACGAGAATATATACAAGGGTACAAACAGCTTGTGCAGCAAGTGTTCAGTGAGAACGGCATTCAGATCCGTGATGTCCAGCAGCAGGATGTCACTCAAATAGTGTAAATGATCAAGATGCTCGGCGACCAAATTGGAAAGCTTCTGTTTTGATTGGTGACTGGCGGGAGAATGGAGAATTATTAATTAAGAACATTATATGAATTTATAGCTCCCTCACTCAATATCTGTGCGCACGCAGGTGTCCAGCTCCAATATGTGCTTGCCAATAAACCAAACCAGGTTGCTGAAGTAGGGCGCCGCCGTTCTGGTACAGATAAAAATATTAAATGGATTGTCTTCCTTCAGGTTTATTCACTTACTTGTCTCTAATAAAACGCAACATGCTCGCATTCTGCACCTTGTACACATTCAGGGAAATTGTGCGCACTGCAATGCGCACCATGGACTCGGGATGATTAAAGAATTTAATAGCCTCCGTGTACAGTGGAAAGTCATTTGTGTGCTGATAATAAAAAACACAGCAAATTAACAGCTTTAAGCATTAATTATACAGTAACACCCACCTCATTGTAGAAAAAATGTATTGTGTGTGTGTTTAGCTTGAGGCTCAGCGTTTTCAGAAAGAGTATGTAATAGCCCATGACATCCTCATCGGAAAAGTCAAATTTGTGCAACATTATAGAATTCACATGGTTGTTACTTAGTAAATAATCTGAAAAATTAATAATTGCAAATCCTTCTTAGCAGCAAATCTCGTAAACTGTAACTGTCAGTTTTTTAAAACTCTATTTATCTAAGCAAAAACTGCATAAATCATATAAAAAGATGTTTAAAACGGAAAACAAAGGGTATAAGGAATTGGAATATAACGATTCAAATTTATGGGTAATTCTAATTAGAACAGTAAAAAGCTATAATAGAAGGGAACTGTTATATGAATGTTGTATAGTAGGACTGTTAACGCATGCAAATAACGGTATATTCTTTGCTCACAACAGAAAATTAGGTTAAGGGATATTATAGAGATGTATCGTAAAATACTTTCAATACTGATGGCAATATACTGTGTAATTCTTATAAATAATTGTTTACATACACAACGATGTCTCATTTCGGATGTTCTCAAAGAGAATATTAAGTGTCTGGAGTAACTGTACGCAAACATAGCTGGAGCCGCCGCTCTTCTGCCGCATAATGTGCAAAAAGTATGAGAGCATGTTCTTCTCCAAAAAGAAGCTGTAAGAACAGAAATAGGAATGCCTCATAATTATATTACACTGTAAGCCGCAACACTTACTCGAACACAAGGGAGTCATGTTGATCGCCCCAGATAAGAATCTCGGCAATGCAGCGCAATGATTCAACCAGCAGACCGCGGTTGCTCTCCGATACCGTTGTGTTTTTTTCCAAAATACTGTACAGGTACTTTAGGTGCTCCAATGACAGTCGATTCTTAGGACGTCCGCCCCAAGGGCCACCAAACCAGCTACGACTTCGAAACATTATGCGAGTATTAAAAACACTCTGTCCCAATTGCGACTGGGTACTCTCAATGCTAATAATAGAATTAGTCTATAACCATTTTAGTCAGAACACAAAAGACCTCACAAAATATTTCATTAGCACTCGATGAAGCTGGAAATTCCAGCACTAGAACTCACTGAGAGCCCACGATATAATGTAAGCTTGCCAAGTGGCACGTCACATAAACGAAACTAATTTTGTAAATATATGCAAAAAAAAAGGATTTTAATTTTCAACAAACGATTCTTCTTCTTGCGTTTTCTGTAAGACGACAGCAGGTGTCAATGTCAGCTGTTGCTCAAACGCGTGGTCACACTGTTGCAGTTCACTACATATGTGTACACACTGACCCAAACAGCTGAAGAGCAAAAAATGCATACCCATTTTATTTGCAACTTTATTCTGAGAATTTAACAAACATGACACAGCTTTTCATACTAACTATTATTCTGGTTAAAATTAATGGAATACGATCCCGAATTGGGATCCTGTTTCATTTGAAAATTTGCGGTGGACAAGCCAAAGGGCTTTAATATCATATCGCCCAAACCCTTTAAGCTGGACATCATTTCGGTCTTGAGCTTCTCATTGCGCTCATTTATATAGGCAGGCAGACGTACTTGGGCCTCGCGTGCCTCACGCTGACCTGGATCAATTTCATAGACACGCTTGTAATCGGTGAGCGCCTCATCCGGTCTGTCTTCCTGCTCGTACAGCTTCGCACGTCTATGGACATTTTGTTTAAATATTTTTATTTAGCTTGTTAAATTAAATACTTACCGCAACAACGCGCGCACATATTCCGGATAGAGTTCTATTGCCTTCGTACAGTCATAAATGGCTGATTTGTTGGCTTCCAGCTTCATTTTGGCCGCTGCGCGATTGCCAAACAGCACAGCACGCTCCTTACTATTCGTGGAGGGGCAAATATTCAGGGCGTCAGTGTAGAGCTCAATGGCACGTTCGGCCTGACCGTTTTTGAAGAGTTCATTGCCTTCCAGTTTCAGTTTGTCGGCCTTTTCTTTGTTTAGGGCCAGCTCCTCGGCGCTGAGGTCTTTCTCTCGCAGCTGTAGCTCATCCAGGCTAAGTTCTTCATCGTGATGAATCAATTCTAATCTATCACTATTATTTTCATCGTTGTCATCGTTGTTGTCCTTGTTGCCCTCTTCTTTGCCACCCACGGCGCCAGCTTCATCATCTTCCAGACATAGTTTGCTGTTCTTTTCTATAATATCGTCAATCAATTTGTCTTGTTTCGGAGAATTTGTTGTAACTTTTTGTATGGACGGCACTGGCTCGCTGAGCGCATCCTGGAATTCTTCATCGGTGACATTCTTTTCTGCCATGTTGTTACCTAGTTCTAACTTCAATTTGTACTCGAAATTTCGATCGCAAAATATATTTGTTATTGTGCGTTGCAGTTTTAGTTTTAATATTCACAGTGTGGACACACTGGCAAACAACGCTGACTGTTGCATTATTTATGCTATAATAGTACAGCAGCACTTAACAAGAGATGACAGTAATTTACAACGATGTTCAGTAAGTGAAAATTTGTTTGGTGTTTTGTCAAGAAACCGTAATAGTCTGAACTGACATTCATAATATTCAATTTATTTCCAATTGCAATAAAATACTTTTTTTAATATATGAAATCACTTGCCTTGACCAAATAGTTGCGCTAACTGCTGTTTGTCATATTTAACCAATCTAAGTGCGGTCACACTAATTCATATGTAAACATCGAAATGGTTGGCGTTGACCATAAAAATGCGCCACTTGTTGTGGACATTGACGCACATACGTTGACGGAATATGTACCAGCTAAGCCATTGGAAAGCAATCTCGAAGTGGTCTTTGGCTCCGCAGAGCAGGTCAGTGCACACAATTTTCGTAAGAGTTTTTTTAAACAATAATGTTGCAGGGTTCACTCAGAGCACGATTTGAGCCATGTGCTCAGCTGAATTGCGGGAATACCTTGAAATTTCCCTTTGCACGTGGTGCTTACAAGCCTACAGCAGTGACCATAATTGATGCCCAAGTGCTTGTGGTCGCTGATGCAGCTACGGAGACGAAGCGTGTTGTGGAGCTTACGCTAGACACAGCAGCCCTTGGTGAATTGGACTATGCGCCCGGCGACACAGTGGCCATATTACCTAGCAACGCACCACAGATTGTGGCGCAGCTATTGCAGCGCCTGGATTTGAGCGAGCAGGCGGACAGCGTATGCCATTTAAGCCTTGCCTTGAACTGCGCCAAGAAGAGTGCCAAAGTTCCCGGCCACATACCAGCAACAACGACGCCACGCGAGTTACTAACACATTGTCTGTCGCTGCACGCAGTTCCACAAAAACAGTTCCTTAGCGCTTTAGCGAGCTGCACCAGCGATTCGAAAGAACGCTCTTTTCTGGCTACTCTGTCCTCCAAGCAGGGCGCCGCACACTATCAGACACTCATTTTGGAGCGTGGCTTATGCTTGTTTGATCTGTTGGAGCTATGCACCACCTGCCAGCCAACGCTGGCCTTACTGGTCGAGCATTTGCCACGCCTGCTGCCACGCCCGTATTCCATAGCCAACAGTCCATTGGAATGCTCGCAGCAGCTGCGCATCATTTACTCTATACGCGCGAATAAGGCGGGCGTCACGACCAGCATGCTGGAGGCCAAGCGTGAATTGTATCGGGAGAACCAGCAACCAGTCCAACTATACATTTATCCACGCGAACAGAATGCATTCCGTTACACGGACCAGGAGCTGAGTGGCAATCAAATACTCATAGCTGTGGGCACGGGCTTGGCTCCTTTTCTAGGCTTTCTGGCGCACAAGCAGTTGCATAAGGAGCTAGCGACAGGTCAAACATGGCTGTATGTGGGCGCCAAGACGCCGCAGGCCCTGCTAAAGCAGCAGCAACTGCTTGCCTGGCAGAAAGCCTCAATCCTACAGAGTCTACGGCTGTGCTATTCCCGACACTCCACAGGAGAGCAGCCAAAATATGTGCAGCAATTGCTGGAACAGGATGCCCAGCAACTTGTGGAACTGATGCAGCAGCCCACAACTGTTTTATATGTGTGCGCCGACGGTGCCAAGATTTCCAAGTGCATCGAAGACGGTCTGCGACGCTGCCTGCAGCTTGGCTTAAAGCTGGACGAGACGGAGGCCACACAGTGGCTCAAGGAGATGCGGGCGAAGGGCAAATATCGCGAGGATATCTGGTTATAATATAAGTAAGATCTATATTTAACATGCATTTTAATCCAAATGGTAAATGCAAAGAAATAAATATGATGCTCGCAGGCGAATGCAAAATTTAAAGAATCTTGGTGCTTCGGGCGATTGGTTTGGATTGCATTATTAAAAGGGGGTTTAACAGATACCTAATATACATATCTTTAAAGTAATTGGTAATTTTTAAAACGCATACAAAATTATGCTTCGGGCCAAAATCGCTTCACTTACCTAAGAAAACTGGACGTCTTAATGATCAGTTTGATAGTAAAAAGCGCCAGTTAAAAGCAATTAGAGATCAAAATGCTTTGGTCGAATAAGTAAATAACGATATATTTAACAACACAAAATAAAAATTACAGTGCAAACTAAAATAATACATACAAGTTGTGCGTATAAAATTGTAAATAATCGTACGCTCAAACGACGGTGTGTGTATGGGTGTGTGTAGATTAAAACTAAATATATGCATACTATCAGCTCGTAATTGTTAAAAATAAGATACATATATAATAAATTGCAAAATATAATTATAATAATGTATTTCAATGAAATGTTTAATATACGATTACGACTTAGGTAAGCAATTGCAAAAGAAATGCATTCAAAACTGCTTGCGTGGAATTATGTGCAATATCATCGGACTAAAATAAAAACAAAAAAATAATAATAAGAATAAAACCTTTTGATGAAGTACACAATATTTGTAAAGTTCTGCGGTAAGTATTTGTATGTACTTATTTAATATTATTATGTATATCAATCAGCGTAGGTAATATGCATAATGTGTATTTTAACTACATTTAAATTGAAATAGCGCCAATTGTTTGAATGTATATTATGTAAATGTATATATCTATATCTTTGCTTGCTTTTATAAGTTATTAATATAACGGATTAAGGATTTTATCAAAAATTTTCCTGGATGACATACAGTTTTCTTATAGTTCAATAATGTATCTTTTTCTCTTTACAATTGCAATAAAAATTCCGTATAAAAAATTTATGCTACTTTTTAAAGACTTAAGTTTCGCTTCGCTTCGTTTCGTTTCGTTTAATTGTAATCATTGCCTTTAGTTTTATTCTTTTCGTTATTTGTTTAAATGCGCTTTCGATTATGTTTGTTTGGGTATGTCTGCGTTAAGTGCCAACTGGCTCAGAATACTTTTCTAGATTTTTTCATCATTTCTTCATTGTCCAAAATACTTTGCGTTTGTTGCCTTGCCTAATAATACGCTGTCGTTAAGCGATCTAATCAAAATTAATGTTTTTTATTTAAGCTCTAAATGATGCACAAATGCATGACAAGTACTTATTTTCTGAATGTTATTTCTTTCTTTTCAAATTGTGCACACCCTGTAATTGCAATGCAATACTTTAAATGAAAGTATTGTCAAAATGCAAACGTTTCCACTTGTCACATTTATCGTTACAATCACAGGGTGCACTTTGCAACCAATTCAAAGAGGTTCTTTAATTTAACTATGACCGTTATACAGCAGCAGTCGTTGGCTGCTAACGTTGCGTATGGAAATATGTGGCGGGCCATTGTGTGTGGAAATGTATAAAAAATGGCCGCTCACTACTAAGCTATTGCATAAAATTGTTTGTTTATATTATACAATGTATATAACAAGTAAAGAAAGCTAAGCATCGGCGCACCGAAGATGTTCATACTCTTTCCAAGCAAAACCAGTGTTGTACAACATTCATTGCCAATTGCAAAAGTCAGCGACTAGTTTGTCAAATTTGGGTACTGGCAGTTGATTTTCAAATTTGGAAAGAGCATTCAAATATTTCAACTAAAGCGAAAAGGCCAAAACGTAAACTCGTTGATTATTTCGGCTAAGGTATACGTCAAATATTGTGGAATTAAACATTTTCCTTTCACTTATCTTCCACTCTACCTGTTCCTCTCCCTCTCTCACTGTCTCTCTCTCTCTCTCTGCTATTTGTATTTGGCATTCGCGCGAAAAATATCCAATGGGAACTACCTAGGTATATGGTGCCTCGTCCTACATACTTTTGTATACAATATATGCTTATGTATTTTCCCTATATTGAATTATCATCATTTTTGACACACACATTACCGTTAGATAACAGCATAGCGCATTTCTATAGTTCAATAGCATTTCATTTGTGCGCTACGTTTATGGCAATCAATTAATTTTTTGTTTTTCTTTTCTTTTTTTTTTAATTTTGACAACTTTTTGGAATAAGGTTCTGTTTCTTTTGTTTTTAGTTTGGATAAGCCTATTTTTCTTACGTTTGTACTAATTTAAATGGAATATAGAACCATCTCAACATTTGAATTTGCTTGGAAATATCTTCTGTTTTCTTTTCTCTCTCTCTCTCTCTCTCTCTTTCTCTCTAGTACATTGTTTTTGTAGATAATGCTGCCAATTTGCTAAGATTTGTTTATAAGTATATGTAGCTAGGAAGTTTTTGTTGTCCTTGTTGTTGGCTTTACTTGTATGGTTTGTTGTTGTTATTGTTGTTGTTGTTGTTGTTGTTGTTTTTGTTGTTGGTGGTGTTGTTTGTGTCACTCACTGCTGCTAGCTAGTCCTAATGGCACTTGTTACACTCGTTTCCACTTGTTACATTTTAACGATTTTTCATTTGTTTTTGTTTTTGGTAATTTACAACAAGTATTGCATGTTTCATTTGTTTTTAGTTGTTGCACTTAGAGACTACGACGAATTTTATGTAGAATTGCATAATGCAGCTTTGATAAAATCGCTTAAATCACATTTATGTATATGTATACACTATTTTAACATTTATGCATCTAATGTCCACTTAGTATATATATTATATTTCAATAGTTTTATATCAGCTGTGTGCGAAATATAATTTAACTATTGTATGCTTTCGTTAACGTAATTGTATTGCATATGCCCGCCGGGGCATACACAGGGGCACACTCAGCCAGTCGTCATATATATGTGCTTACACAAATACATATATTTAGAAATGTTTTCTAGTTGTATGCATGAATATCGTATGTCTCAGGCAAAGTAAAATATAGTAAGCAAAACAGTCGAACAACTGTAAACCGTCTAATCTATACCAAAAAGAAACTTCGTAAGCTGCTTTCTCATCTGCGGCTGCTGTGACGTCACTTCTTTGCACCTTCTGTTTTTCGTTCGACTTGTTGTTGTTGTTGTTGTAGCGGTGGTTGTTGTTGTTGTTGTTATGATTAGCGATTAGCGGCCTTGTCCTGCAATTAGAGATGCGCATATTGTTATTGCTGTTGCACAAATGTTTATCGATTGCAAATTTGCCTGTGACTCAGACCTATGTATTTAAATTGCTTTTAGTATTTAAATATGACTCAGTCTTTAGCATTTTAAATCCAATATTATAGTATTTTGCATAGTGAATTATTTTCCGCCCAAGAGTGTCCGAAAAATGTCTAACGGGTATTCACGACTTGAAGGGAAATGTACGGTTGGGAGAGTTCTCACTGTATTTTTGTTTCACAGCAAGCAGTATTATTCTAATCGAAAATATTATTCAAGCTTTTAACGCGTGCAAAAAAGATTATCATCTCGAGTCCGTAAATTATGCCTAAGCCCCGAGACTGACAATCGATATTAATCTATTTTAAAACAATAAAGGAGATATCAAATAAACTCCAACTGGGAATGGAGTATGAAACAATATGAAATGGCTATCTTCGCCGAAAATTAAACATCGGAATAATGCTAGTAAAAGCTGAATTTTATTAAGTAGAAAATTTCCATAGAAAACTCTCCTCTCTCTCTCTCTCTCTCTCTCTCGCACAGATTTTTTCTAACATGCTATATAATATATTAGTGGGATATTGATAAACAAAAGTTATTGTTATAGAAGAAATTAATTTTCAACCATTCGTTTCTATGTCAGCTTTATAATAGAGGGATCCGATGAAAATAATATGTTTGCTTTATTTAAGCATTATTATTATAGTGAAATTAGTAAATGACGAGTTTGGTCAAGATATATACTATATGTTATGTTATGCTATGGGAGTAAAACAACAAATTTTAATGGTTTTTATTCATGAATTAAAATTCCTCTAGCAGCTTTATGATATAGTGGTCCGATGCAGCCGGTTCCGACATACATACATATGTACTGCCTGCAACAGAAAGTCGGACCTATGCAAAGTTCCACGATGTGGCTTTAAGCCTGCCTTGAAACAGACACGGCTATATCAACACAGCTTTTTAAATTGATCAAGAATATATGCCTTGTAGGATCGGAGATGTCTCTTACTTTGTTGCATGACAACATTAAAATATCCCCTACAAGGCAAGACAAACATATACAAATCTTGTGGCTGTATCTTCAATAAGATATAGGTTGGAGAGGAGAGCATATATATGAGAGGTTTGTTATGGGCAGATGAGGGTATGGGTTGTGATAGGGTATATGGGTTTGCTGATGCCTCCTTCTGCCTGCTGGAAATTTCTACTGACTATTTCAGGTGCTGCCGGAAAGCTCTTGTGCAGTTTGCTCAACTCTAATCAGGGTGTAAATATTTGCAATGATGTCTGCACAAACAGAAACCATCGACTGAAATAAAAAGAAGGTGGCATAGCATATCTATACATATGTACGTATGTATGTATTGGTACATGTGTACACTTGAACTCTATTCCAATTAACATTTTGACCTTTATTAATTGCGATAAACATTGCATAATGTCCATGAGCTCTAGCTGCGCACACACGCAACAAAGCAATCGACATGTGTACTACAAATTTTATAAAAAAAAACTAAGCAAATTCGAACATGCCAAATAATCACTTCGCTTGTCTTATCACATTTCGCTGTTTATCAGTGTGATTAGGATACTCAGAGCTGATTAGGCTGGCGGTGCCCAAAGAAGAACAACAACAAGGCACATATGAAATGAACTGGAACTATAAATAGATACAGACACGGCGAAGGGCAATGCTGTGCAAGAAGAAGCAGAGCTTTTCTGCACTCCAATTGGCCGCTGGGTACACTGGTTACTGTTTATGCAAGCGTTGCGCTTATCTGTTTAATTTTGCATAATTACAACAAATTCTTCCTTTTTGCGATTTGTAATTATTATTATTACTTTCAGTGGGTCGCAAGGCGCAACAGGTTTGTTGTATTAGCGTGTGTATCGCATACAAAACACAAAAATGTTGCCTTGTTATTGTTATTCTGCTTATTGTTTTTATTATTAAAGCGCTGGGAGCGCGTCACTGGCGTATGCAGCCAATTATCAGCGCAATAATTGTGCGGCTGTGTGTGTGTGTCACATATGCACATACATATGTATGTATGCATGTACATATGTGTGCATTTATCGGCATGTGAAGCGCCCGCGCTAAAGTCACGCTTAAATTTCAATGAAAAACCCAGCGACATTTGTGTCCGTGCCACTCGACTCCCATTGTGTTTTTGTTATATTTATAGTTGTCCAGATAAGACAGATGCGCTCGTCTCGTATTTTCACAGCTACATTTTCTTCACAATTTTCCATTGACGAAAAATGCACGGGAATGGATTGAACAATCAACATTTAACTTTCAATATTCTCATTCTATGGGACTACTATATTTTTTTTTTAGGAAGTATCGATACATTTGTGAGCCACTTCCCTTTCACATAGGAACGCCATAATTATCGCGTCTCTTTACTATGTACCCCGACTACATACATACATACATACATGCATACATATGTGTGCACATGTGGGCATAAATAGAATTTGAAATTCGCTCGAACTAAGTGTAACCCTATTTTAATACACTTCAAGAAACAGGGTATAAATACAGTTATGCCGGCAATTATCTGTAGTTTTTCATGCAAACGAGAATCAAAGCCAGCGGCAGCTGATTTATGCCTTCAAAACAGCGCTTCATGCTCCAGTTTTAAGAGTCGCAGCGAAAATATCATTGCAAACTTTGGAAACCGCTATGAAAGCTCAGCGACTGTTGTTGTTGTTGTGTCATGTGGAGTGCATGTGGAACATGTTGTATATGTAACACACATTAAAACAATGCAATTGATGAAATTTTCAAGCACCGAGCACTGTGTAATCTCATACGTAATGTAACTGAAAATGCAGCAAAAAATTATAATTATTATATTGCTGGGCAATGCATGATACATACATATGTACATACACACACACGTATGCAAAATGTCGCACGAATGCGGCGGCGGATGGGTAGAGGTCGGTTGCCATGTTTGTTATGAAAAACGAGCTCACAACACGAAGTTCCTCCTCAACGAAATACACAGCGAGTGAATCATATACAATTCCGCGTATCAACAACAAAAACAAGAACAACTACAACCAAAGGCAGGAGACTCATATGGTTCAATAAACGAAACAAAGCCAAAACAGAAACAGAAAAACCAAAACGTATAACGCAAAACCTTTTGTGCGCAAGGTGAAATTATAAGACAGGGTAGGGGGCGCACAACTTACGCAAATTGAACGCACAATGGAATTGGGTTTAGTCATTTCATAGTTTTTGTATTTTTGGACGTTTGCTTAGGCAGAGACAAAAACTGATACTAAAACTACGTGCAATATACAAAAGCACGGACACACACACACACACACACGCACATACTTTCTTATGTACATATATACATAAGAATGGCTGCTGTTCAATGCCGCTCTCAGAAAGAGTCAAAAGTGTTAAGCGATAGGTATAAGTTCACACACACCCATACATGTGTTGTACATGTCCACATGTATGTATGCATAGGGCCTTTCACAAGGCTTTACGCTTACGCGTGGACTGGAAATTGTACTTTGGCCCCAGCAGCGCCACTCCCAGCGGCAGCAGCAGCAGCAGCCGGCAAAAAGGCACCATGCAACTGCAGCAGACGCGCAGCCAACAAACTGGAAATGCACACAGGGACATACACATGTGCATACATTTGGACATGTATGCGTGTATTCATGTGTATGGCACATGTAATTTAAAAGCCCATATTGATTTCCTGCGTTAAATATTTGCGAATGATTATTCATTGTGCTGCTGCCGTCGCTGCTGCTATTGCTACTGCTACTGTTGTTTGTTAACATTAATGTCATCAATAAGACATTTGGCATACAAAAGCCCCAACCGCATAAAAACCAACATCAACAAAGTTAAAACTTTGCGATCACACACAAAGACAATTATTGTGAGTACCTACAGCTGCTGCCTCGTTTGGGAGTAGCAAGCAAAACGGAAAGCAAAAGTATTTACCGCTAATATAAACAAATAAACAGCCAAAGATCCGGTAGAAAAGTGCACGCACGGTGTGTGTGTGTGTGTAGAAGTGAAACAGGGCGATCGAGTGGAAGTGGGAGCGAGTGAGCTAGAGCGACGCACAGTAACAGTGAGAGAGTAAAAATAGCGCATCGCGACGTCCAGCGGTCGCCAACGCCACTGCACAAGCAATTAAATTCAATAAGTGGATGGTGGTGAAAAATGCAGCCAGACAAAAAGAAAGATATAAGAAAGACAATAGCGAAAACATTACAACGACTACTGCGACATTTAGCAGCACAGCAACTCTGGCTAGACAAAGATCGCACTAGTTTTTTCTTTTAACGCTTATCAAAATCTACTTATAATGCCAACAAAGGTTCTTGGAATTTGATAAAAGCACTGGGGATTTTAAGATAGCTAAGATATGCATGCATGCATGTATGTATGTGTGTGAACTGCCTAAGTGCTGTTTGATAAGGCTATAATAAAAGCGGAGCATGTGTGTAGGTGTTGCTGTCTGCGTATGTGCGCAGTGTGTGAATTGGAAGTTTGTTTTTTTGTGATAATGTATGAGTTTTTATTTTATACATTTTTTTTGCCAGACAATGCGTTATTTCAAGTCTTTTCTTTGCTGTCCAACAGGAAATGCGAACGAACGTATTTAATAGTGTTGGTTAACTGCTGGCGCACATACACACGTAATTGTTATTGTTTGTGTGTATGTGTGCCAGTGTTTACGTGTTACTTTTCAATGGGATTGCGTGCTTCAGCAAAGAGAATAAATGCTACCTTAAAGAAAATCTCAAGTCGAAGCTTTGATGCTCTTGAAAAAGACAATGTCAAAGCAGTTGTCGATATATGATAAGTTATTTGTTTCTAGGAATTTGTGCCAGTACTTTACTGCTGCGCATACCCTTTGCACAAGTCACACAACTATTTTTTTAAGTACTTTGTCAACTCAAGCACAATTGACTAAGCATAATTTACATACAACTAAAGTTTTGACATACTTAAAGCTGATTATTCAAATGCAAACGCAACTGTTGTGATAAAAAATAAACGCAACGCATGTGTTTTGTCATATATGCAACAAATATACACACACACACGCACACACATATTGCTTAGGTTTGAACGAGACCTTGATCGAGTTTAATCTGTCTCACAGGTATATCAAAATCCACTGATTAGGGCAATTCATTGAATTGTGTACAACCTCTTCGCAACAACTCCCCTTCACTTTAAACAGTTTTTTGTGACTGCTGCAAAAAATTGGATTGGTCTATTAAATTGGAAACCTGTTTTGTCGGCTCGCGATGACCTTATAGATAAGATAGAGATCGGACGAATGCACATCTAATATCGTACAAACGTATTCTTCGAACATAATAAATAGTTTCTCGGAGTTTGCCGTAACATATTTTCCAAATAATACAAACTAACTAGAGTTTCCTAGTCCTGACAGTTTGTGCTGTGCATTGATCGTCAATCAGTCTGATTGATTGACAGACTTATATGTATGTGTGCATGCAGACTTCATATTCAATTTCTCAATTTTGTTTATATTATACATATATATATATTTTTTGGACTTACCACTTAACGTTGTTATCGGCCAACGATGTGCAATCCGTGCGTCAGTTGCACAGACGACAGACGGAGGGACACACATACATATGTATGTATGTACGTGTGCCGTGACTTGTTACGTTTTATGTTGTTGTTGTTGTTGTTGTTGTTGTTGTGACTACGTTTTCATGAAAGACTAATCAGCATTTTGTTCCAGATTTCGAATTTATACACATTAGAAGACCTTCTACGAAATGGGAGGCTTAGACAGGACATAGAGGGTAGGGCGAGTCGTTTGGTCACATCACGCAAAGAGCAATTTGCCAGCTCGATGATGTTGTTGACACATTAACTATACATTGCGTCTGAGAACCTTCTTGGCAGCCTTAATATTGGGCACCAAAGCCTTCACCTCGCTGCAATCATCAAGAAACGGATGCTTGAGGAGCTCATCGGCTGTGGCACGACGATCCACATCGACCTGGAGACAACGATCTAGAAAATCCTGCAAGCTGGGACTCAGCTTGTCCCAGCTCTTAATATCAGGTCGTCCATTGGCGGCAATTAGGTAGAGCGCACGCAGCGGCGTCTCATACAGATAGGGAGGCTGTCCGTCAATCATTTCGATCGCCATTATCCCAATGGACCAGATGTCCACTTTTTTGCCATACTTTTTGCGTGTGACCACTTCCGGCGCCATCCAGTACGGTGTGCCCACCATGGTCTGGCGCTTCTCGTCGCCCTCGATATTGGCACAAAAACCGAAATCCGTAACCTTCACACAGCCATCCATGCCGAGCAGCACGTTATCAGACTTGATGTCCCGATGTATAATGCCTTTGGCATGCAGAAAACTTATGGCATAGAGGACCTCACGGCAAACGCAGGCAATTTGACGCTCCTTCATGACTGTCTCGGTGACGACGTCGGTGAGTGGACCGCCATCCATATACTCCATGACCACCCAGAGCTGATCCTCCGGCTCTAGCAGATATGCGTCCAGAAAATTGACCAGATTCTTATGATTGAAATCCTTGAGCACACGTATCTCGGTCAGTATGAGATCCTTGGAGGATTGATTTTTCATTTCAATTGTTTTGACTGCCACTTGGGTTTCCGTTTGCTTGTCGCCGGCTATGAATACAATGCCCGATGCACCCTTGCCCACTTCTTGGCTGGTCTTGTAACGTTCACGCGGATCCTCAGGATTGCAAATGGCGCGGAGCTCCTCATAAATCTCCGCATCCGTTTTCTGTGCACGCTTCTCTTTGGAGCGACGCAATATGGTCTCCTCTGGCGCATCGGCATCGATACCGCCCTCCTGGCTGGCGCTGCCCAGGGTATTGGGCTTAATGATAATTGTATCTGTATTAATCTTGTGTGGTTCCCCATCTAGGCTACGCAGATCACGTGAGAATTTTTGCTGGATGACGCTCGAAGGTTTTGGTTTGATTTGTGGCTTGGGCGGCAGTTGATGTGGCGATTTCTTGGGCGGCACAGGCGGCGGCTCCAAGCCGCACGGCTTAACCGGCTTGAGCGTTTCACGACCCAAAGTCGATTCCAGCTCCTTGATGACATCGTTTAGCGCATCGAGCGGTATGACAGACTGTTGGCTGCTATCATTGAGGCTGCTGCTGTTGCTGTTCGCCGCGGAGCTGCCGCAGCCGCTGCTGCTGCTCTCTGTTGCTGTTGAGCTGCCGCTGCCATCGTCATCCGATTTATCAATATCCTGCGATTTGTGTTTGTTCTTGTAATTGACATAGTTATCAATCTCTTTGGACTCCTCGTGTATGACATCCTCCGTAATGAAGGGCTTGAACACCTCCTGCTCCTTTTTCTTAATGGAGTAATTGTAATATTTGACCGCATGATAAGCTGCGTCTGGATTTTTGTCCTGCTCATCGCGTGTGATTTGTGTGTTCATCAGGCGCACCCAGGGCGTGGGCAGACCCTCCAGATCGCCCGTCTCCTGATTGCGTGAGACATGAAAATGCCGTTGAAAATTTGTTGGAGCGCCAATCTCGGAGATTTGCTCCTTCTTCTTGAACCACTTGGCGAAACTCATGTTTGTGTTGTTTCCCTATTTTTCACTTAATCTCTATGTTCTTTGTTTTTCCACAACGTTGAAAATTGTATAAAATGCTTGGGAAATTCTGTTGAAGCGTGTTTGTTGTTTTGTTGCCGTAGGTAGCGCTCTAGCGCCTTCTCACTCGCACTCACACACTCACTCACAGGGCCAGCCGTGAGTCATAAACAAGCACACACACACATACGGACACGCCGTGCTCTGTATATTCGTGTGTCTGCCTGCTTATATGTGTATGTGTGTATCTGTGTGCGTGTCTATGTTTTAATGTACGTCGCTCGCTTATCTCTAGTTAAGTTTGCTTGAGCTTTTGCAGACAGCAACAGTAAAAAAAACCCACTTTGCCATTTTTGTACGCTGCTTTGTAGAATTTTCACTTTTTATTGCCTTAATTAATGCAACAACTTTTTAATTTAATGCAGTGGGCACAAATTTATTTTTATTTTTTCAACTACACACTCACGAACGCACGCACGCACACACACATTTTTCTGGAGCGAGACAACGGGCACAAAAGGAGTGGCCGCGGCAGCGTCTTGTTCTGGCTCTTGTTGTTGTTGTTGTTGTGTTGTTAGTTTGCCTGTGCCGCAAATACTAGTCGTTGGTTCCTAGCCATTCCTTCAAGTCATTTTTTCTTTTGTTTGGCACACTAAATTTTTATTAATTTTATGTATTCTTTTGCTGCAGTGGAAGCTCTATAATTAACAACTTTAAATTTCTCTCCTTTACTGCAAGTCGCGCTGCACTCGGCCGTACTGCTGTCACACTCACACGCATACGAACAAGTGACTGTGTGACCGTACGCTGCAAGAGCCAAAACCCTGTATAAATTGTACAAAATACTAACCTTGACAACAGACTAAATTACCTATTAATATTTAAATTTTTTAATGATTTTAAGCGCACTTAAGCCTTGTATTTGATGTATAGATATACATTTAGTTAAAATAACAGAAAGATTTAAAAAACTATATATACCAGATGTTAGGAAATACATGTTATATATAAGGGGGAAATTTAGGATTGCAACTTTTTGGCCTTTCTTCATTTTTTGATCTTTCTTTTAGCAAATAACGTTTTCTGGTAAGTTATTGATATTTATTGTTATGTCTTATGTCTTAAAGCCCAACTCAATATTCAAGTGCAGTGTGACCATATATTGAAATCTACTGAAAATCCTCAATACTATGCTGTTCTGGATGCGTTCAGCAACGATACTAATAGTAACAACTCGGCGGTAACGTTTATTTGTAGCAATATTCGAGTACGTACTAGAAATACAAATGTTTTTTAATAAATCGCTCGTAATATTTAAAACTAAAAATTATATGTGGAGTCCTCGTCATAAATATCGTGGGTACCTACCGAATTCAAGTTTCGCGGCCGTATTAACATACGGGAAGCTTTCACCAAATATTCGTTGTGCCAGTTGCCCCATACAATACGCTGTCCATTTAAATTGGATTGAGCTTCCTGGCAACGATCAAACCACCAGCCAGCGCACTCTTCATTGCGGTCGTAGGCCCTGAAATCCATGCGATTGTGGTAGCTGAGGGCATCGGACGTGCTGCTATTGCCATTCAGTTTACCAATCACCAATTGATAGTTGAAACTTTCGCTGTCCAGCCGGAACAGTTCGTATTCGGCCCACACGGACAAACCATGCTGATCCTCCAGTTCGATACGCAGCACATAATCGTCGCGATAAGCTATACGGTGTATAAACTCGTTGCCAAACCAAAAGTCCCCTTTCAAGCTGCCAAAACCGACTCGATACTCATCCCAGCTGCGATTAAAGTTCTCCGCCTGCAGATTGTTGCCCTCATGGCGTTGCTGTATTACCGTCCAGGCGGCACCGTCTGTGGCAAAAGCACAAAGCCGTTCGTTGAAATCGCGATGCCTTTCATTTAGTTCCGGCTCCAGGAATTTGTAAACACCATCCACACGCTGCAGCTCATCCAGTTCATAGCAGTCCGCCTTTGCGGGCTGCACGTACTCTGCGCATTTTGGCAGGTAAGTAAATGACGATGTTCTTTTTATTTAATGCATAGCAACTCACCAACTTTCGATTGTTCATTAAACTTGCTTTCATTTGTTTCTTCAACCTCTGAGAGCTGCTCCTTTGACATTCCCAATGCGTCATCTTCCTGGTGCTTATTACTTTCCCGAGTACTTTGATTGCTTGCGACCAGCAACGCTAGCATCGAGTGCACTTCTTCCAGGCTTCTGGCCTGTTCATCGTTCCACTGGAATTTCAGCTGTAGTCTGTTTGCACTTTGCCATATTGCATTGCCCTTGGCTTCCCAGCGTTCCAGTGCTTTACTCAAATTTCCAGAAACCTGCTCCATGAACTCAAGTCGCCTTATATGAGTGAAAGAAATCAACTTGCTGAGCGCCTGATTTAGTTTAAATTCCACATTTAACATCATGCGCTGTTGCTGCTCCTGAGTGCGCCTGATCAGCGTCAGTTGATGATCCATGCCCTGGCACATGGACATTAAGCTCCTTGATTTTGCTGTTCCTGCCGCTAAAGTCTGCTGTATCTGTAAGGTTGCAATTAGTGCGAGTAGAAAACCCGTGTTAGGCTATAATGGAGAGATCAAACGGAATATAGCTTAAGTCGTTTGTGAATTGATAATCTTGCGCGCTTTACCCGCATTGTGTTGCCTTTCCAGAGCGTGGGCTGGAATGAAGCAGATGTTGAACAGAAAACTCGTCAATTATTCGACCAATCGCAACATGTGTTGCATATTATGGAACGACAAAGAAAAGAACCGCTTGTGATTTATGTTTTTTGGTATTTTTTTTTTGTTGTTTTTTTAATGGTTTTTACGAATATAGTTTTTGTATTTGTTTGCTTTTTAATGTCCTTAGTTTTGCATATACACATTTCACTTTTCAATAATTAACGGCTTTTACATGAAGTTTGTGAGTTGAAACAGAAAAGCAATATACATATTTATATAGAAAATGAAAAAATAGATATATATAACATTTCGTGAGGATTACACAAATTTACCCACGTATCTATATGTTTTTGTTTGTGTGGTTCAAAGTTAAGTTTATCTTTTAACGTAAATGTCTACAATTAACAACTATGTTTGTTTAAAAGTAGAAGTAGAAATTAAAGCGCCTAAAAAACTAAATACATCAATCCATTTTACGGGGCGCACTTAATATATAAATTTGTATGTGTACATATATTTCTTTTAGATATTCATAGTTTCGCCTGTTTTAATTGTTTAATAATTACTTAATTGTGGCAAAAATAATCAAAAGGAATTACTTTTTAAAATTGGCAAAAATGTAGATTTTTGTTTTTTGTGGTGCGCGAATACATTTTTTACATCAACATTAACGTGTTTATTACATTCTTTCGTTTTTCTTTCTTTTTTGCGATCATACGATCTATATAACTAGATTTATATTTGTATTTAATTTAAAGGTAGCGCACCTTTGGCTTGAAGCCGCAAGTGAATTAATTTGTTGCCTAAATTTAAGCTTTAAACGATCGTGTGTTTCTGTTAAACTAGGGTAGTATAATTATCTTTATCATTAGCTTTATCCATTAGTTTCATACATATATCTCTTACTATCTCTTAATGATTAGCTCGTTTTCTTTCTATTTACATTGAATATTTCACGAGTTCTTGTGTGTGTGGGTGTGCGGGTGTGTGGGTGTGTGGCGTGTTTTGTATTTGTATTACTATTTTCTTTTAGAACTAAATAACTAAGAAATTGCTTAGAATTAGGCTGCAATGAAAATTACGCTCCTCTTTTTTAAGTGAAACTGTTGCTTTAGTTCAAACAACAACAAAAGAAAACAATATGCTTGAAAACAAGTTAAAAAGCGTCTCGCTGATGGCTTTAAAATTTGACGAATTATTTAAAATTGAAATTCACTTCACATGGTCTTAATAGCTTTGGATTAGTTTTCTGGTGTATACTCGCTACTTGCTGGTTGCCACTTGCCGCGTACTACTCGTTGCTAGCTACTCGTATTTCGCTGCGGGCTACTCGCTGCTCCTCACTGCCTTGTCGTCATTAGTTGCTAGCTATTCGCTGCTCGTTACGCTCTGGCTTTCGCTTCTGGCTTGTCGCCAGCCGCTGTTTACACACGCTTGCGCATGCGCTCGTGGCGCACGCCAATGCTGCGCTTCCATTCGGGATCATTGGGATCGTCGTCCATGAATGGATCGTCGGCCAGCTCCTCATCGTCGAGTGCCTCATGCTCGCCTAGATAGGCATCGATGCTCGCATTGTACGCATTAGCATTATTCGTGCCCGATGGCAACTGATCATCTGGTGCCGCCAGGTAATGATAATCATCGTCTTCCTCCAGCAGTAGTTCGTTCTCATCCTCGTCGGGCTCATAGTCAATGACATCGTCATAGCCATCATCCTGGGCGCCATTAATGTGAGGTGCCACAGATTTCTTGGCATTCTTGCTACCATTTAGTGGTGCTGCGGACTGCGCCAACTTGCTGCCACTTGTGGCTTTGGCCTTGCTGCTGCGTCGGCGACCAGCGCTTGTCGTTGAGCCATCTCCATTGGAGGAAACCGATTTGCTCTTGGTACGCTTGGCCGGTGCGGCTGGTATCGCCGGCTCTTTGGGCTCGGCGTACATCTCGGCCAGCAGTCGCTGATAGACCTCCTCAGAGAGGGGAAACTGAAGCGGCTCAAAAGGTGGCGGATCTTGCGTTTGCTGAAAAAGATTCAAAGTTAAAACAAGGCTCTGACATGACACACATACACTCACGTCTCTGGTATCTGGCGTGTTGCTGCGACGATCGTGATCCTTTAGCTTACTGGATGTGGTGCGTCGCCGCTTCGTAATCTCACCATCACCTGAGAGGGCATCCAGTGGGTGCTGCTGCGTGGTTTGTGCCAAGGGTGAGGGTATGCTCTCGTTATCAGCTGTAGGTCCTGCCAGCTGTGAAGCTGCTGGCGATGTCGGATCGGGCGTATTGGCCCCACTTGACTCGGCGCGACTGTCGACACGACGATTGGCGCGCGAGCGTGTGCTCCAAGGGAACTTTAAGAATGTTTCGAAACGACGCCGCTCTTCGATGAGCGCACGCTGATGGCGCGCTATGTACGCCTCATCTGAGATGTCCTCCTCCTCTTCCTCATCAACAACGTCAACGACGCTAGCCGCTGCTGCCGCCTGCTTTAGCTTGTCCTGCGACTTCTTGGCGGATGTTTGCGCTAGCTGCAGCTTTGGGCGCTTGGCAGGCGGCTCCACAGGTTCCACATTGGGTTTGTCTTTTTCAACTGGAGCGGTTGCATCCTTGCCAGCAGCTGGAACTGTTGCATCTGTACTCGCAGCTGGAGCTACTTCGGCCTTACCAGCAACAGGTGCAGGCGGGGCAGCAGTCTTGGCAGTGGGCTTGCTTGCTTTATTTACATTATTCACAGGGATTTTGTTATTGTGCTTTTTGGTTTTGCCATTGACAGACAGATGCTTCGCCGGCAGCTGCTGCTGCTCCTTTAACTCAACCGGCGGCTGCTCTTCTTTGCCATTTATCTGCCCATTACTAATCGCTTGCTTTGCCTGCCGCTTGACAGACTCTGGCAGTTGCTTCTTCTTCTTGCTCGACCGCTTGATGCCATTAAGCTTGGGCGCGGGCTTGATCGGCGCCTCCTTCTGAGCGTTGTTATTTAGCTGAGGCACTTTTTCAGTTGTTGCTTCAGCTGCGGGTGCTGTTGCTGCTGCGGTTGCAGGTGGAGTTGCTGCTGCGGTTGCCGGTGGAGTTTCTGCTACGGTTCCGGCTGTAGTTGCTACTGCGGTTGCGGGTACAGTTGCTGCTACGGTTGCAGGTGCAGTTGATGCTACGGTTGCGGGTATAGTTGCTGTTCCTGCTGCTTCTGGCATCTCCTGCTCCGCCTTTGTATCCGCACAGCCATTGCTCAGCTTCTCAGGGGTTTTTGATTCATTCGCTGATTGTTGTTTTTTCTCATTGTCACTGTCCACAATTCGCCACCTGTGTTGGTTAGATATTAAACATGATTATCTGACTTTTATTTATAACTTCTATGTTAACTTACTTTGGTGTAGGTATCTCCTTGTAGGGCAAAATTTCGACACGCGTCTGAGCGGCCATGCTGTAGGGTATCACGATGTTATCAATGTCGTAAATAAGTCGACTGCGACGATCTGATGTGCTGTTGAGTGCAGTTTATAATACGATTATTTTGATATAATTTTGATAACATATTTAATGCAACTTATTCCATTTTCACTTTAAGGATTTGTTTAAGCCAATTTAATAATACTCAACAGCAGACAGACTGAAGACGAATGAATATCGGACAAGTTTTAATAAATAATGGAATTAATCCTAGTTATAAAACAAAAATTTATAGGGGTCATTGATAAATGACCAGGCACAACCCCTACAACTACTTTTCTCAGTAGCCCAGTCATTCTTCCAACTAACTAGTTAGTAGCTCGCCAAAACGACACACAAAAATTCGCGCCTTTGCTTATTATATCATGTTTACTCCCCCTTAATGGATTTGAAAGCTCTTTTTAGTATTTTTGCTTAACTTGCTTAGAACCCACCCTTTTTAAAAATGTTATCTCACATGCTCCACTTACCGTTCATTGCGCTGTCCATGCGTTTCGGAGGAATTGCGGCGACTGTGTTGCTGATGTTGCTCCCACTGCGAATCTCCGGCAAATCGACTGTTGATGTTGTCCCCAGCGCTGGGCTGTTGGTTGCTGCATCTGCTGTTGTTGTGTGTTGATTGTGTTTGTTGTGTATTGGAGGCGGATTTGCGTGGCTTTTTAGCGCCGTTGCCTTTGCCGGAGATCAGTGAGTGGCTATTTAGTTGTTGCGATTTTTGGTGCAACTGGCGTGAATCAGGCATCGGAAACACCGCGGCTGTGCTCGTGGCCAACTGACGCTGCCTTTTGCTCACTGCGGCGTCCAACAAATATCAGTATAGGCAGGCACAAAAGAGATTTGAAGAGAGAGGAAACGAAAACAAATTGCAAAATAAAACAAATGTTGTTCGTTTGTTGTACGTTGTTATTGCACAGTGATGGTTGTGTTGGCAGGTATGTTGGTGTTGGTGTTGGTGTGTGTGTGTGTGGTTGTGCGTGTGCGTGTGTGTAACGATGTTCCGTGTAACATAAAAGAAATGCGTAAAGAAAAAAGAAAAGAAAGAAAAAGAAGAAGATGCAAATTGTTGTTGTTTTATGTTAATAATCAATTATCGAATTTGTCATGTTTACAATAATTTACTGTTGGCCACAAGTGGCGTTGTAGTAGGCGTAGAAGAAGAAGAAGTAGTAGCAGTACCAGTACCGTTTCCACTATCCAATCCCACGTTGGCGACCCCACTGCTGCTGCTGCTATTATTGTTGCTGTTGCTGTTGTTATTGTTTTGTGTGGTTTCTTTATTATTATTATTGTTGTTATTGTTATTGTTGTTGTTGTTGTTGCTACTGCTGCTTCTGTTTTGATTATTGTTGTTGCGCTCTTTGCGGCGCACATATCGGCGCTTGGCTGTCTCGCCGGGACGACGACCGGCACCGCCAGCACCACCAGCGCCGCCGCCGCCACTTAGTGCGACTGCCTCGCGCTCAGCCTTCCACACGCTTTTAACAATTGCCTTGGCCTGGCTGCGCATAACGCGATATTGCCAATCCGGCTGACGGGCAATCGCCTCCAAATGCACCGACTGACAAACATCTGCAAAATCAATGAATCCATATGCTAATGAATAAATTGCTCGATATTTAAACTTATTCAAGACTTACCGTCAGAAAAGCTCAGCACCGGATGATAGCCGGGATCGAGCAGCGCTACACGATTTTGTGGCATCAGCGTTTCAGGTAAATCTCGTGGCGCCGTCGGATCTGGCCGGCCGGTGCACAATGTGCACGGCACCTGGGGCCACTGGCAGCCACATTTAATGTTGCTCGGCCTGGCGGCCTTTTTCGATATTGTGTGCATATTCGTAGTTTGGAAGAGTTTACGTTTGCGAAACTCGGACAGCACCAAGGGACGGGCCCGACTGCATAGCCAATCGGCGGACGCCTGTTCGGGATCCAGCTGTACCGCTGCCTGTGGCTGCAGTTGCTCCTTGTAACCATTCTTGGGAGCTGGCGTCGGTTCTAGCATTACATCGCCCTTGGTGCGACACAGATCGTTGTACACATCGTTGTGCTGGCGGATTTTCATGTCCAGATCGGCAACCTGGGCGCACAGCCAGGACCAGCGCAGTGCAATAACAGCACGATCTCGCGAATAGCGCCACACGGCACGACGGGTTCTACGAAATATAAAGAAAGAAATATTTCATTTACATAGACTTGCAATATTTGAAAGCGGCCAGGACGATCTTTTTATAACTAAAATTAAGTGCAATTTTAAGAACTCCTCATTGATTCTTTTATTACACAATTGCGATTTAACAGAGGAGACTAAAGGCATTCAAAAGGTATTTTCGCCCAGAACTCTGCCCTATCAAAATTAGGGAGCTATTTGGGAAATAAGTTAATTGAGGACTGGCCAACAGTTAGTATCATTTGTACGCAAATTAAGTAATAGTATTTGATAATTTGATGACAATGACGTGATGGGGTTGATTGCGCTAGTAATCACTAATTAAAGGCTACAATGAAGGGAAGGATTAGCAATTAGACCAATGCGTTGATTACTAGAGTCATGATTAAGCACAAAATGGAATATCAATTGCTTCTGCTGGAAAGCAAGAAGATTGATTGTTTTCAATTTCGTACAAATAGAGTTAAATATTATTGTTTACCCTGCCTGAATATTACGATCAACAATGTAATATTAAACAACAATAGACTAGCGCTGTAGCTATCTATTCAATTTATTTGATTTTTACTTTTGTCCGATCTACATTAAATATAGCGTGCGGTTACTTAAATCTAGATGTTATGGAAAATGTCTATTAGTATATATCGGTCGCTTATGATAACATTTAGATGTGTTTTCGTTTATAACACTTAAAGCCGTTGTACCACGCATATAGTTTAATAAACATAATTTTGGGGCATGTCAGGACCAGGAGCAGGACCAGGATGAGGATCAGGATTAAATAGATTAGCCTAAAGATTAGCATGCTCACTTACATTGACAATGAAGACTGCTGGGAATTGTTGTAGTTAACCATCTCATCGGCTGATTCGCCGCCAGAGCTAGACTCTGTGGCGTCTGAGTCGATGGCAGTCTGTACTTCACGCATTTCCGTGTGCAACATTCCCGAAATATGCGTCAACTCGCTGGTCACATAGTTGTCAAAATTAGGTACAATCTCATCGGCTCGAGGGTTCAGAATGCCATCTGCTACGCCTGCCGTACTGTTTATGCTGGTATCTATGGGTTGTGTTTTGCGCGAGCGTTTGCCCGGCTGTGCAGCGCTGCTATACCAGGAGGAAGAGGATGCCAGTGATGCGGAACCGCCGCCAATTGTATGACAGATTTGCTGCTTGCGCGCCGCCGTCTCTATGTGCCGCAGCACATTACTCATTTGGCTGGCAGGCAGTGGTTGCTTGGTCTGCTCATCCCAGAAGCTGCTTCCCGGCCGGCCGGAGACAATGGAGAGCACCGTGTCCTCCTGTTCAGTAAGCTTGGTGCTGCGCACCGGCGCCGCGGGCGCCGCTTTATGTGAGCTGCGCGCCGCCCATTCGAGTATACCGCCAACCTCATCACTGGCATGACGGCACATCTGCCGGGCCTGAAATTTACGCATTCGCCACAACAAAACGTCGATCTTGCTCACAAGCTCATGCTGTTGCTGCTCCAACTCCGCATGGCTCACCTGCCAGGGACGCGGTACGGCTGCTGCACTGCAATTGGCCTTTGTCTCCTGATCGTGGCTGCCGCTGTGGCCAACATCTGCTGCAGCGGCTGCTACTGCTGATGCAGTTGTTCCAGCTGCAACTGTTGCTGCTGCAGCGGCTGCATCCTCCTCATTATAGGGAAAACACACCTCGTTGAAGAAATTGAAATCACATATTGTATCCGGATTCACGTGACCGCCGTCAAGTGTCTTGAGCGCTTTTAAAACCTCCTCAAAATCCTGATCCTCGAGGACGGCGCCAGTAGTGCCATCCTTTAGAAAATTTATCGAGCTGGCCGTGCTTTGTGGCGTGAGTAACGCGCCTGACTGACGCGCAACTGTTGAATGCTGTGGTGAGGCGAGTATCTCCGGCTGTTGCTGGTGTTGCAGCTGCTGCTGCTGCTGCGGCTGCTGCAATTGCAACGGTTGTTGTTGTTGTTGCTGCTGATGCTGATGGAGCAGCAGCTGTTGCTGGTGCTGCTGTTGTTGCCTGGTGGGCGTCGTCGGCAGCGCAACGCTTGATTCTAGCGTCGCCGCGCTTATGTCCACAATGGGCGGCAATACAACGCTGGGGTTGCCATCCAGTTGACTAAGGCGTTCTGTGAATAGGAAAAGTAATACATTTTTATTAAAATATTCATGGTATCAGAATTAAAAATGCAGATAAAGTTAATTTGTGCTGTTGAATGACATGTTGTGCTATCTATACATCATCTGTTTGATCTATGAATATGATGTTAAATAACATACAGTACGCTAACATTTGTATGTTATTTTAAACAACTGTTAACAGCTCAGCAAGTCTATGCTACGATTTTTATTGTGTCTAACTGCATTCACTAAAGTTTTAGTAAATTATTTTAAAACAAGTAAGCGATTTAATATACTAATTAATAAGAGTTATTATTTTATTAAATAAAATTCTATTTCCGAACATGTTTATCTAAATATACAAATACTTCGCAACAGGCAAATACCCTTCCAATAGGAACAAGCTGCCCGATTACAAGACAGCAGGAATGTTGGCAGCAGTGAGTTTATGCTACAGAAACTATCATGCAATAAATATATTATTGTATTGGAGATAAAATGTAATTCACATGAATAACATTTGTTTTACATGATTCAAAAACTGAAGTTTACAGCAAACTGTTAAGCTGATGTTTTAATACATCTAGGAAAAAGAAAAAAACAACAAATCCGGCTAGTTTCGCTTGGATCTTGGGAATAAATGAAAATTGCCTATCCTAAATTTTCCAACCGAACAAACATGTCAAACAAAACACAAGCAATTTTCAAGAAAAACAAAATAGCCACTTTACTGGGTAACGGAACGTGGTTCGCACCAAGACTTAACCCCCCAAATTGTTCGAAAAGGTTTTTGGAGCACGCGGACCGTGAAATCTGTGCAGTACGTTGGAGTTGAAATAGATCTAGGCTTACCTTCAATATTATCTGGCATTTCGGTAGCAGCAGCCACCTGTACTGCGCTGTCCACGCTGGGCGGAAGTAGCTCCTGCCCCGCCAACCTCTGTAGGGAGGAGTCTGTAAGTGTTGTTGCTGTTGCTGCCGACGTTGTGGTTGCTGTTGCTGTGTCTGCTGCTGCTGCTGCTGCCGCCGCTGCTGCTGAACTTGTCGACTGGGACTGAGCTTCGGCTTCTGGCATAAACGCGGGCTCTAGCAATTGCACGGTTTGTGCTATAGCTGCGGCTGCTGCCTCGGCTTCGGCTGGCTGCTCCTTGCTGTGGCTTACCTCCGGCAGGGTTTTGCGCAGACAGATCTCAGCTGTGATGGCCTCCTCAAAGTCACTTGTCAGATTAGCCAGCAGCTCGGCCGTTGAGTTGTCCTTGCAGTTGTTGTTGTGCTCGGCGGTAGCGCTGGCACTGGCGGCTGGTGACGTTGCTGCTGCAGCTGACGCGTCGCTGATGATGCTGCTGCTGGTGCTGCTGGAGGAGGCTGCACTGCCGTCGCTGCTCGTGTGTGTGGCTGCAGCGCTGATGCCCATTTGATTTTCAACGGATTTGACTTCGCTGGTGGTGGTGCTGCCGCAGCTAATGTTGCTATGGTTGTTGGATTTACGTTTGTTGTTGTTGTTGACGATCTGCACAATAGGCGAGCCGGTCCGCTGTGCCGCGTCCTTGGAGCGTGTCACGCGCGTTGTGGCTGTTAGAGTTAATGGCTTCTTAGCCGTATCGCCGCCGATACCACCGTTGGGCGAGTCCAGTTTTCGCACAGACTGTCGCGTACCGGTGGCGGGCGCGGCGTTGCTAGTTAGCTTCTCCTTGGGGCTCAGTGGCTCGGCTGTCAGCGCTGGTGCCATACTTCTGCGGCGCTATTGCCAGGTCAGCTGCATTACAGGCTCGAGCTATACAAAACTTGGCCACGGTAAACTACGGAAACGCTACCGCTTGATTTCTGTATGCACTTTGCTGCTCTGGGGGGGAGGGTCTGCTGTTGGTCGCTTCAAAAGAGAGGAGAAACAATTTTTTCAATTTAATAATTTATTTTGAAAAACTGACACCGAACTGAAGCACACTTTGTTTTTCCGCTCTGGCACACAGAAACACACAAGGCTCAACACGTTTCAATTCGCCTACTATTTGGGCAATAGTTGGATGCTTTAAAGTTGCCACAGATTTGCATAATCGATAACAAAAATTACACAAATTAACAGCGATAGTAAAAGTCGCTTTATTTAAAATTGCCAGACATCTGCAAGTACGGCTACTTAATAATAATAATTAAAGCAACTAACGATAAATAACAAAAGTCCGTTGTTTTATTTGCCTCTTCCTTCTTCTTGCCTCTTCCTTTACGCCGCCTATAGGAAGTCTTTTCCGGCGCCGCGTGCGTATGTGTAACACTCAAAACACACACACACACACACGCACACGCGAGCACCTATGTGAGTGGAACGTGAGAGCAGAGCAGAGAGCGCGCGCTATTGCTCATTCACAATGATGCGCAATAAAAAAAACTTTAGAATACTGCGGTTCGCCCAGCAATGTTTTAACAAATGCAAATGGAAAAACTACTGATGAAATCTCAGTCTGCGCGCTTGAATATTCAAAATATTTCATCACGCATGTGTGCAGTATAAGTACATGCATCGTGAGCATTTTAGTGCTGTGCTAAATTGTGATGCGTGGTCGTTGAGTTTCCATGTTTTTTTATGTAATTTCTTTATTGAATTTTTCATCGTTGGCAATTAAGTAGCTCGCGCCTTTACAATATGTGCGCGCACACAGCACACAAACAAATAAAACACAGGCACTCACTCACACACGCATACATATGGGTCTGTACCCATGCATGAGGTTACTGCTTGTATAGCTGTGTGTTATGTACATACACACATGCATATGTCTAGCACTATTTTCAGTTATTTACACAATTTGATGATTTTTTTGCTCACACCGCTTCAGGGGCATATACTAATACGCCTCAAAATAAGTGAATATATTTAAACAGTTTCGCTTTTATCGCAAACTCTGTGTATATACACACATACATATATTTGTGTTTTTCGTTTCAACGAAAAAGTAGTAGAAAACGTTTTCAGCGCGAAAGTAACCAAACTGTGAACTACACATACACGCACACAAGTACAAACATCGACATACAGAAGCAGAAGCAAGCAAGAATTTGTAATTGCTTAAAAAGTAATATTGTTTTATACGCACAATTTCAGACGCTTGCACAACGCACGCAATTATTAAATCTGTCGATTTTTACTACAGCGGCGTGGCACGCGTTTGGTATATTTGTCGTTCTTGTTTCACGAAATTTTTTCCTCATTTATATATTTTTCATTTGCTGCCTGCTACGCTTTTGGCAAAACGACGTGTATTCGGAGCTGTACTCGTTTCTGTGCTGCCAGACCAAAGTACGCATGCTGATAATACGCTTGTCTCGCTCTTACACATGCCGCTACATGGGCAATTCGGCATCAGTGTTGCAATGCGTGTAAGTGAGATGTCGTTACAAGTAGTTACTTTAAATCGTTACTCAGTCACAAATGGCAACACCTAAACGTGACAAAGCGTTACTACACAAAATGCAACTCTGAATACAAATTAGCATTATATTTGTTATTGTTTTTGTGGGAATATATAAACTTTATGGATATTGGAAATTACGAATAAATGATAGCAGATAGTAATTAAAATGTGTAATTGGTTGCATTTTGAATAGTTCCAGTTGTTTTTTTTTATCAAATTAATTCTGGTGCATTAGATAATTTTTAATTTTAGTTAACTTGGCGATCAGAATTTATATATGTATGTAGACTGGATCTGAGGACCTATAAGTAATTTTAGTAAACCTACGAAGCTTTAATTTTTTCGCCAACATTAAGTAATTTGTATAGAACAAATGAAACGAATCATTTGGTCTGCGTTGTGGTTTTCGGGCTTGTAAATTTGGACGTTGCAACAATTTCCATATAGTTTTCGCTCATTTTAAGTACGTTGGCCCCGTCTAATCTCTTATAACGAACCCATTGAAGCGGTAGCTTTCGCTTTCTATGTTTTGTGAAAATATGACCTTTTCAATCTTTGAGCAGGGACTACCTTCGGTCTGCAGCCAGTGTTTCCTGCAAGCAGTCATTAATTGACAAGTCAGGACACAGACTATTAAGTTTAAGCCCAATATGCATTACATTTCGTTTAGCGGTCCCAGCGGTCCCTCCAATTCACCCTTTACGGTGCCCTCTTTCGTATTCTTGCACCAACCGCGCACTCCCAGTATGTTGGCCTGCTTCTCCGTGTACTATATGATAAATCGAAAAAGCTTTGTTGCACATTCCACAGCGCACTTGCATCAATCTATACTAGACTTACCTTGCGAAAGAAGACGCCTGCAAAAAAACAAAAACAGAATAAAGAAAATGTGCAACAAATTAGAAATTTGCAAATGTGGCTTTCGATCGCACAAATACCTTGCACTTTTCCAAATACCTCAAATTTACACCAGTATATTGCTTCCATTGTGAGTGAAGAGTTTTTATATTCAGTAGCTTTAGAGGATATTGCGAGCACAATTAATATTGTATTTACTTTGAGAACTAAATCTGATTTATATGAAAACACCATAACGACCTACTAACAGAGTTGCCAGCTAGTCCCATTTGCTCAACAGCATAGCATGGTAGCCGTGTGTGGGGTAAATTTATTTATTTTTATTATTTGAACCATTATGAAAAGTTGTATAGAAAATCATTGCAATGCTAGAAAATGCCAGTATTGGTAATAAATCTTTAAACAAATCGCCCGTGTCCAAATTGAGATTTATCAGGTCTATCAATAAAATTGATAAAAAAAAAAGAAAACGCCAACGTCGCCGTAATTCGGCTAGCTAATATTTATAAAGGGTCATAAACATACCTCATAAATTTGATCATTTCGCTCCCTGCTCCGCTCTTATAATATTCCGAATGCAACCCCGATTCTGCTTGCATTTTGCGATGTGGCAACGCTGTTAAGCTCCTTGAAGAACGTCGCAATATCAAAAGTGTTCGTTTTATATTTTTATTACATTTGAATGTAGTTTATTTAGCTGTTACTATAACATATGGTATTTATATGAACGGCTTGTTGCTTAGTCTATTTTTTCCTTCTAATGGTTAGTGGTTTAAATAACAAAATACTATGGCCCGCTGGATTAGGCAGCAGAAATAAAAATGTAAATTCGGGACAGTTTTTAGCAGCTGCCGATGTTAATCGGTTCGATTTGCGGTCTGGTTCTTGGCCGCCAGGATAGTATTTTGCATGAGCATGGCAACTGTCATGGGACCAACGCCTCCAGGCACAGGCGTAATGTGTCCAGCTACCTGACGAACCTCTGCAAAAGATTATACGGTCAATTAGTACAGGGTATTGGCAATGAGAGCATGTTTCATTTGGTTACCATCGAAATCAACGTCGCCGACTAGCTTGAATTTGCCTGCCTCATCCTGGATTCTAGAGATGCCCACATCGATGACACAAGCGCCCGGCTTGACCATATCCTTGGTTATCAGGCCCGGTTTCCCCACGGCCACAACAAGAATATCCGCTTGGCGGCAATGCTTGGCTAGCTCCTTGGCTGGCGTATTGCGATGACAGATGGTAACAGTGGCGTCCATACCTTTGGCCGCATGGTTGCCATCCGAATGTAAGATGATGGCCAAGGGCAGGCTGACGTTCTTGGAGCGCCCAACGACAACAACATTGCGTCCAAAGGTCTGTATATTGCTGCGCTGCAGCATGGTCTTCACACCCAATGGCGTCGCCGGAACAATGCATTGCATGTCCAGCGCTAGGCGGCCAATGTTGATCTCATTGAAGCCATCTACGTCCTTGTCAGCACTTATGGCATTGCATGTGGTGCGCTCATCAATGTGCTCCGGTACCGGCAGTTGCACCAGTAAACCATTCACATTCTCATTCTTGTTCTCCTCGTCGATCAGCCGCAGCAGCTCCTCCTGTGTCGTTGTCTTGGGCAACACAATTGTTTTGCTACTAATGCCAATCTCCTTGCAGGCAAGCACTTTCTTCTCCACATATGTCTTGCTAGCCGGATCCTCGCCCACAATGATGGCTGTCAGGTGTGGCTCACGATGTCCAGCTGCAACAAATTGCAGCAGCTCATTACGCAAACTTTTGCGTATGTCCTGGGCCATGTCATTGCCATTAATTATTTGAGCCATGTTACTGAAAGCAGAAGGACGTTGCATAAAACGGGAATGTTAATTATAAGTGAAGAAGGAAGCTAATAATAAAAACAATTATTTGTATGTACGCATGTTTGCTGCTCCCATTTCCATTCTATTTGTACATCAGTCAGATCTAGCTATAATTAGGGTTTAAAATGCATTCAGGTTCACTCAATTATGATGCTAAACCATCATCCAATTTTTATTATGAAACTGATAGCCCAGAACCACTTTGTACTTAGCTTTTGGGGGAAGTACACACAGAGATTGTGCGGTAATTCACCATAAATACAAACATACCCAGAACTTACGCGGTGATTCACACACACATTGGGTAATTCCCCATATAGAGATAAAAGTACAAATTTATTGAAAATTATATTATTATGCATTGCAAAATGAATTGCTGTTAACCCTAATAAATATATAATTAATATATATATATATGTAGTTTTGCTTAAAAAATATAGATTTATATATATATATAACTAATAGCAAGCATTCAGCATGTCCAGTTCCTGGAGAGCATGCGCAAAAGATTTGTACTCGATGACACTTGACTTGTGGTGTATATAGTTGAGCATGCCCTCTGAGCTGGACCAGAGAAATACGAGTTGGCTTAGCGCCGATTTCTCGGCGAGCTCTTTCCATTTGGGCAAATGGGGATTGTGTGCAGTTGGCTCATTGAGCAGATTCACCAGTTTATCAAACGTGGACTTGTTATTGAGCAAGTGCTCCAATTGAGCCTTGGCATCGCTTGCATCGTTCGTGCCGTCTTCCTCCTGCTCTGCTTTAAACATCATTTCAATCTCCTCGGTTTTGATTGCATGCGACGGAATTTCCGGGTTGCTCTCTTCGTCATCCTCGGCGGATGAAAAGTCGATTTCCTCTTTGACATTAAGGGGTATCCAGGTCATGGCTGACTCTCCCTTATCCGGATACACCTCCTCCAGCAGGCGCACACAACGTTCATTGGCCTTGTCACGCGCCAGCTCCAAAGGCGTATAGCCTGCCGAATTTCTGGCCAACAATATATCTGTTAGATTCTGTGCATCCAGCATCAGAACGAGCAACTCCACATTTTGTTCCAGCACAGCCATATGCAGCGCATTATTGCCGTCCGTTGTATTGGAGACGTTTATGGAGCTGCGATCATGATTAATAAGCTTCTTGGCCACATCATATTTATTCTGCCTGATGGCCATGTGCAGCGGCGTCAAGCCATCATCATTCTTTAGCGACAAATCCAACTTGACACCGGGTCCATTGAGGAATATCTCAATGCAGTTGCTGCGCTCCTCCTTGACTGCTAAATGCAACGCCGTATTGCCCATATAATTCCGCTGATTGGGATTGCAACCCAAGGCCAGCAATGGGCGTATATAATGCGCCCTATCATGCTGGCAGGCCACATGCAAACCACTGTCACCATCCGCATTCAGGCTACTGTGGGCGAGCTCCTGCAGCTTAAAGTATTTAATCACTTCGAATGTTTTGATGGCCAGCTTTAGATTATCCTTACTCTGGCTAATCACCTCGTGCAACAGCGTATCATTGTTCTCGTTCTTTTGTGCATGGTCGGTGAACAGTTTAGCCACCTTTTTACAGGAGCTATTAAAGAGTTCTGGTTGATCGCCAGCGCGTCGCATAGCATCGAACATTTTGAAGATCTCGCCGAGATAGATGGTGGTCAGGTTGCGATTCTGCCCTGTAGCTGGTGCAATGCTTAAGTTATTGGCGCTTTCCGTACGCCCGTGACCATCTGTCTCTAGGACGCCCATATCGGGCACACATAGCTTAGCTAGCTCCGTGGAGTCCTGCTCGATGAGCTTGCGAAACGAATCCGGGGTTATTAACTGATCCAAATGAAATTCACGTCCAAATTCCTGACTTATAGTCTGATCATGTTGGGAGACGTTGACCCCGCCCTGCTGCGGCACTGTCTTGGGCAGCTCCATTGAGTTGTGTGTACTGCCGCCACTGCTACTGCTGCCGCTGCTGCTGGTGAGTGTGGAGCAGGTGCGTCGGCGTTTGCGCGAGACAATTGCATCGCGTGGTTTATACCGAAAAGGCAATGGCGGAAACGAGCGCTCATCATCAGAGGGACGTATGAGCTCAATGGACACGGCTACCTCGCGATCCACCTCTTTGTCCTTATAGGTGGGTGTCTGACACACAATCGCATACTGATGATGCACATCCGACTCACGAAATTTGGCATATGCCTCCCAAACCGTTTCGCCATCATCGTTCTCCTCAAAGAAGCGCACCTTGATGTTCTTCTTGCTGACCTTCTCCACGAGCAGAATTAGTTCATCGTTGCCCATGACGCTGCCCGTGGGCTTGCTCAAGCGCGTAATGCGCAATTCGCCAGTTTGTGCGGATTTGCGGTTATTAATCGGATTGCTAAACACGGGCGCCGCAATGGGTGTCCAGCTGTGATTATCTTCAATCTTGAAGGCCTCAAAGCAGAGTCGCACCTGGAATGCAGCCATTATTGAGCATAGGGCAAATATAATATTAATAGCGCTACTCACCTGATTTAGATTCATATCTTTAGCCTCGCGTTCTGTCTCCTGATGGAGCTCCTGCACCTGCTTGGTCGACAGCTCACGGCGGCCCATTTGAAAGACCAGACGATCCTTTTTCTTCTTGAACAGCTCATCGAATATATACTTCTTGGCCGTGTGTATGATGCCCATGTTAATAAACTGGGCTACATAGCCGCGCTCCTGTGAGACATGCAAATCATGCGGATCGCATACATCGCGCTCGTCCTTGCGCACCACCAGCTGATGCGAGTGTGGGCTGTCCAAATTAGTTTGGAATAGACTGCAACGTATGACCGCTGGTCCCTTATAATTGCTTAACATTACCTCCGGAAATGTTTTGGGTGTGCGTTTTGAGTTGATACCGTTTAGTGATCCGTGTGTGCCATGCATTTCACTTTTGTAGCGAAAACGAAATTTCTCCACCGGCTGCTCGGCAATGTGCAGCACAGCGGTATATTCATTTTTAATTCCTGCGTCGATTGGCGTAAATCCAGCTATTTGCGGCGTGGCATAAAAATGATCCATGGGCATGTACATGTTGCCAAAGTTTGTGTTGCCATTCAATAAATTGTTGCTGCCATCAATTTCCATGCAGAGGTTGCCATTTGTAAGCAGCTGATTTGCTGTCTGCTGCTGTGTGTGGTGGTAAGGTGAGCCGCGTAATTGCTGTAGCTGTGGTGAAGGTGAATTCGATATTGCGGGCAAATTGAGGTTGGCAAAGTCATTTTGCAAGGCAAACGTCTCCGGCGAATGTGCAGGCGACAGTGTCATCGACGTGGGTGAATTTCCGCTGCTGTATCCGCTAGTGCTGGAACAATCATTCGCATAGGATACGACGTTCTTGCCTTGATCCAGATCAAAGTATTGCTGTTGATTCATTGTTGTTGTTGCTTTTAATAACCACGTGAGTGCGTGTTGCTCTCTCTCTCTCCCTGTTCGCTCCGGTTCGATGTGTTTCGCTTCTGCGACGCAGTTGTGCGCACGTTTTATCGACCGTTTCACTGCTCATCCAAAACGACAATGAGACGATCGTTTTGCAGTTCGTGGCGAGTACAGCTATTGTTCGTTATAGGTACTTCCCCGATGTTGCCCGACTGGCAATAATATGTATTTATCAGCCTGCTGTTGTGACTCATGGGTTTATTCGGTTCGCTGTGTGATTTTATTTGCAGCAGCAGCGACTGCGTTGTTCGTAGAATTTTCAGTGCGAACAAATTGTGTACACAACAGCGAATCAATCTTTACATATGTATGTATGTACTATAAACATAGGTATAGATGTGCTCTTTACACAAACACGCCCGGCTCGTCGTACGTTAACTCTCCACTGCACGTATTGGAATGAGTGAACAAAATCAAGTAATCACCGTCACGACAAATAATAAACGACGCTGCCGATAACAGGTTTAAGCTCTTTGCAAAAAGCTTCAATAGCAGCCGCGTTAAAAAAACAAATTCACTATTTATAAACGCATGCACTTTTCACCACGATAAACTCTTCAAAAACCCGATTTGAAATATCTAATTCAACTTGGATATGTGCTGCCAGATTTTTAGATGTGTTTGTATGTGGCAACGCTCTATTGGCAACAGCTGTTAATTATAAACACACGTGCCAGTTTTGTCTTGTTTTGCATTAAACAAAAAATATTTTAACGAAGTTTGCTTCCGTATGTGTATTCGGACAGAGCTGTGAATCTAAAATCATCTTGTATTTATGCTATACATTATACAAACTTACACCTCTTGTTTTGGCAGTACCAGTTTTTTCGCATACAATTCCCATGATATTGTGTGCATCTGCAGTATTAAGCGCATGTTATGTGTATTTTGTCTACGAACTGGCACAACAAGTGTACTGACTAAGCATTTCCACATTTTGCACAGCAACAGAAGTGAAATTGTTAAAACCGCATAAAATATGCTGCACTTTCATAAACTAAACTAACTCACACTATTTTGTAACACTTTAATTTTGTACTTAAAAAAAAAAAAGCACAACCGAAAAAGCAGAGTACCGATAAAAACTAAATGACTTTCATGCTCACACGCACACATCTTTGTATACGCACACACACACATACATTCACAGAAACACAGTAGGCGTTAGTATTTGCAGGGTAACTTTGGGCAAAAACAATTGCATTGATATTTTTTTAATCGTACCAATGAATAGCACGAGCATTGCTTATTGACCCCTTCAACTATTTTTAGCAGACAGCGCCGCCTGCGCTGCTGTGCGGGGGTGACAATTGGCGTTATCAGTTGCAGCTTTTCATTTAATTTGATTCATATTTAGTGATGCAAACAAATCATGTAAACTGTCTGGCAAACAGGTCCTGACCTTTCTTTTATATGAACACAATTTTTGTATATTCACATTACCTGATTTGTGACTTCAACTTCTGCACTGACTTCCCACGCCCAAACTGCAAAATATAAACCGAGCCGTTTCTCTGTTCTTAACGAACTGCTGGAACGGCAAAGATCACCCCACACACGTGTGTTTTTTGGACGCCGAGCTCTCGAGCTTTTATCCAATGAGAGCAAGACGGATATCATTTAGAGCGAAAGAGCGCGACTTAAAAGTTTTGTGTGTTGAGTAAAGCTTCTATATGTGCTACAAAAAGTTAACTGCCAAGCAAACTTCAACAATCAATACAATTTGCTTTTTGATTTAGAAAATATTTTGTTTTTATTTTTGCACGAGTGTTTTTCCAGCACATGACGAAATCGTAAAGCGTGATTACTAATTGCATCGCAAGGCAGTCTCGCCTGTGACGCCAATAAAAGCCCAGGGGGATCGATTTGTTGTCTTGTGCTGATAAGCCATGCAATGCACCCCAACACCCCATCCACTATATATAGTGCCGTGGAACGCCTAGTAACTGACTGACATTTCCTAAGGTACGAAAAAACAACAACTTATAATGGCAAGCGTCACTGAGAAGTGATGCTGCGACTATTGTTGTTCCCAGGGCAGACTATCGATGCCGGGATTGAGTTGAAAATAACATGTTATTTTCGAATAATTGTCTGATAAGAAATGGAAAGTGTGAGTGGAACATTTATTGAAACAATGTCAATCATTTCCACATGTAAAACAAAGCTAACATACGCTTTTTTTTTTACATGAAATAAGATTGGAATGGGAGCAAAAGTATCGGTGCTTGTGACGTCAGCGCGTGCGTAAACTACCTTCTATATGTGTATGTGCGCATATAACATATTATTGAATCTTATTTTCATTAATTCTGTATATTACAACAGCTGAGTTTGAGCATAATTGATAGGAATTGTTTTATATAATGTTACATGTCTACTAATAAATGCATATTTACATAATTCGGGCAGCACTTAACTCCAATTTGCTTGTTCTTCGCAAAATAAGGGAAAATATTTGAATATATATATAATTTAATTATTTTAAGGATAATGCCCAATAAGGGTTAAAGAATATTTATGCAAAATATAAGATTATATTACAGAATTGATGAACTCACCTTGTGAAACGCATCTTGGATAAATTATTTATATTTATTTGTTGCGCACTTTAAATTTATACTTTTTATAGATTTTTATATTCTGAATAAGTTTGAGCTTGAACAGTTATTTAAACACTTGATCACTTGCGCTTTAATTGTAAAATATTTTAAAATCGTTTCGACAGCGCGCTTTTTATAATGCCTGATCTGGTATTTTCTAGTACATTCTCCGTTAGCGATACCCCCCATCCAATAGTATCGATACCTTACAATGCACATTAGTGGCAACGCTAGCAAAACGCAAAAAATAAGACAAGAAAACAAATACTCAAAAACTGCGAAAAGAAATACAACATTTGTAGAATTTAGAGCAAGGCGTGGATTGACATAAAATGCAGTAAGTGTATTGCGATTACATGTACTCAACTCAGTTGGATTAGCGTATATTTAATGCGTGCAGGTCTTACGGTGGTCCCGACCAGAACCATTTGCACAAATCGGAGCAGCGGGCGGTATTTGCGCATCCAGCTACTCATCCTTGGCTGCTGGATGGGATGCCCTGGATGCTAGCCACAACAAACGCACCACAGCCGGGCGGCGTTATGCAATTCGGCTCGAATGCTAACTATAATATTGAGACTGACACACAATGCGGCAAGTGGCAGCAGAAGCGCAAATCTCTGGAGCAACTGGCGTCCGGGCTGTAAGCATTTAATATATATATATATATATATATATATATATACATACATGTTATTGCTATGTTATTTAATAATATATCACAACACGCAGCCCGCCCAAACAATTGATCACCGAGGAGCGAATTACGGCGCATTTCAGTGGCCTACAAATCTCTGGAGACGCAAACGGCGTTGGATCCGTTCGCAGTGCCGGCAACAATAACAGTGTGCCAAATGTGAACGGCGGCTTGGCTACCGATGATATACCCTCAACTAGTACGGGTAAAACACATCACCCGAATCCGGCCTATCAAATGGCAGCCATGGAATTGGAACAGAAACTGCGCAACGCCAATCGGATTGTCATCTGTGATGAGCTCAAGCAGGGCGTTAGTCCGATCTCAGCTACGGGTGTCATACCACCGGAATGGCTGCTCAAAACAATTCCAAGGCCGTGTACCGCTCTAGTGCCCTGGCAACCGTCGCCCCTGCAGCTATCGCAGCCCAAGGGGCAGACGAGGATTCCAGCGCAGCGTACAGCCGCAGAGGAAGCAGCGGCTGGAGTGGTGCACCTCGATGATTATGATGATGAGCTGGAGTTCTTTGAGAATAACAATACATGTAATGTGAATTTAAATAAGTCTGACGAGCAAATGGATGAAGATCTGTAGCTGTAAGTGAAGGGTTGATGTGTTTATAGTGTCCATAAGCAAAAAGTAGAGTTAGCAGCATGTCTGTTTATAATTTGATTAATTTTACAAAAATAATCATATGTATTCATACTTAAGTGTTTTCCTTTCATTTAAATAACATTAAAAATAATAAGTCAACATTATTTCATGTTTTATTTAAAGTAGCCTGGCAGCCCTAACTACTCTGTAACAGTTGTATTTAACAGAAGCAATAACAGTTAACACTGATTGGCGCTTGTGAAAAACCAGTAAAGTGGTTATATTTACGTATATAACTTATTAATTTCCTAGAATTATTGTTGTCACCTTTGGCTTGGAAGAAATGTGTCTAAGGAAATGATGATATTTTATAATTCACTTTTCTGTTATATAGTGCTGTTAATTGGCAATGAGATCGTAATGTTCATGTAGGCGTGTATCTCTTCGTTGCTAATATTTATAGCATCTGTTAAGGTTTAACATAACATATGAAAATGTAGCCATTTTTGCATTTGGCTGCTTACGGTCACACTGGTCAGTCGCAGTTCGTTTTTCATCAAGTGCGGGTGTGTGCTGCGGACGTGTTGTGACGACGTATTAAAAACTTCGATAGCTGCTAAAAATGGGTAAAAATATACAAAACCTATCATTTCAACGAAATGTGCAAAGTATGTTAACTGAATTTGAAGCTGCAGATAACAAACAAAAGCACGAATTGAGTGGAGCTGTTTACAGATTAAATTAATTAGGAGCCACATATGTACATACACACATGCATACATGTGTATAGTACTTGTATGTATTTACTGGCATATGTGTGTGAAGTGAACAGTGCGAGGCATATGTTTGTATGTACGGCCGGGTCGTTGTATATATATAGCTATCTATCTATCTATCTATATATATATATTTATACAAATGTGAATAATTTACCTTTACATACATATTAATTATAATTTAAGTGAGTGTAATTTGGAAACGCAAAAATAGGGCCAGCCAAAACGACTGTGTCGGCTTCGTCGTTAACTAGTTTCTGAGTCGCGTGGTGACGCTTACACAGCACGAAAAAAAATCACCACTAACAACAATACGAAATGCACAAACGCAGCTATTGGGAAAATCGGATAACACCAGCTAACATAGAGCAAACGTGAGCAATCAGTACAAAATGCTCAAGTGCAAAATTAGAATATTTATTACAAGTTCATGGGAAAGCAATATGAAATGACAAATACGCAGTGTGGGTGTGTGAATGCGTATGTACGGTTTTCGAATCTGGAGGGGCGATGTGATAAGTGAGCTTTTGTGTTGCGGCCGCTGTCGCTGTCGTATGATAAAATACGCGAAATAGATGCAACCCGCATGTACATAATTTTATGCAAGCGACACGCAGGCAGGTAGCGAGTCCAAACGCTACGATGCGACTGAATACACCACAGGTTTTTTTCTTTTCGTTGACCTGTGAAATAATAGCAGCAGCAACGAAACAGTGGCGTAGCTATGCGCACACGTGTGTGCTTGCCGAATCCCCTAACGAAACGAAAGTCGAGCCCCTGACGTAGCAAAGAAGTAGGCAGGCAGGCTGGCTAGCTGGCAGTCGAGAAGCGTGGTGAATTTTAAACATAACATAATAAAAGTCCACCATGTTGAGTTCCACTCGGCTTGCCTTGGCTGCACGGCATAATATTCTGCTCTGAGGCTCTAGTCTGGTTTAGTCGTCTTCTTCGTGTGTGGGAGTATACAAGCAAACGCGTGCTACGCATAGCGCCCATGAGCGCCCGTAACTTTGCGTGCGTGTGTATATGTTCATTTTTCACTGCCTGCTCAATTTGTATGAAGTAATAAACGCTGTCTGCAATTAGTATTTCTGTGCGCGTTGTGTTAACGAGAAAAAAAAAAAACAATAACAAACAAGTGCACTGACTGCAGGTTTTCATGCATCTTTAAGTTTGTTTCTATCTATCTCTTTCTCTCTCTCTCTCCCTGATTACAGAAAATAATTAAAAGTGAAAAGTGGCAAAGTGAAAAAGAAGAACAACAAACAAACCGCAGGAAGCGCTGATTAGAGCGCCCGCAAACGAAGAGAACGAGGCGTGCCAAGTGTTAAAAGTACAAGTGCAAATAAATCCAACAGATTTTGTGGCGATGTCCACCGCCGAAACGGGGTCGTCGCCTGGCAAAAGCAACAACAATAGCAACAGCGTCGCTGCAGGCGGCAATGCGAATCCGAAAGGTGTGCAGCGCCGACAATTGGTGAGTATTTGAACTAATATTACCAACAACACCAAAACGAAAACTTACATTTCTTTGATAAGCCCTCAGTAAAGTGTGTGGGAGATGCGGGGTGGCTTATGCCGTTAACTGTCGACCGATGGCGTTGTCATTGTGATTCGCAAGCGTAAATCATCATTAGCAATCTATAAAAATAAAAATAAATGCACGCTCATTCACTCACTCATTTCCTCTCTCAAGCTCAAGTTCTATATTCCGCACATACACACACAACAGTTCACACACAGAGACAGCGAGAGAAGGTGAGCCGTGCAGCGGCACTGCGCCCATTGAGCACTGAAGCTCAACTGATGCCGCCGCATGACCAAAAGCAGTTTCTTTGCCATTTTGTTTGTTTGTTGCTGTTCGTATTTCGTTTATAATTTGGTTTTTTTTTTGAAACGTACATGTGAGTGTGTGTGCGCTGGTATCGTTGTAGATAACAGCCGTAGCATATTTACATATATATGTGCGTGTGTGTAAGCACAGTCACACTACGTTTCTAGAGATTATTTGAGCATTTCTTTGTACGAGTCGGTCTCTATCTTACTCTCTCTTTGTTATATCCTCTCATTCACTTTGCTGGGCATTTAATTAGCACCGAATTGGGACAGCAGCTGTTGCTGCCGCTCGCTGGCCAAGCCGTCAATAACAGCAACCTTCTACCTTCCCATCATTTGTGTTCTGCCTTTGGCAATGTCATCTAAATTCATGAATGTTTTAGTGCGCGCATAACAGATCTACTTGCACACACATACATATATATACGCTGCGCGGTTGCGTGGATTTTTTAAAGACAGGAATTGTGTTTTTTTTTTTATAGAGATGAGTTAAACCAAATCCCTTGTATAATAAAATTCGTATCAATGATCATTTTTTCTTTTCAATTTCTTCTGCTCTTAAATTTTTACTTCTTTCAAATATATATAATTGTAAAAGTATTTTATTTTGAATAATTAATACTTGTGAATTTATACAATTTAGATAATAAGTTTAGATGCAACATTCACCTCGAAAGCCCTTGGCAGTTTTACCCCTTGCCTATCACAATATTCACCTCGATAGTGATAACATGCACATGCACGAAACTGTCCCATCTCTAACCGTGTGTTAGTTTCAGCTTTTGTGGCTTATGAAAAATTTATAACTAAAGTGACTAACCCAATCCCAGAGAGCACATGCTACAAACGCACATGTATCGCAATTGGCAAGTGTTGGTGGGCGCTTGAGTATATGAGCTTGTAGATAGCCAACAGAAATTTCGTTGCGCCGCCGCATGTGACAGTGGCGGCCGTTCCCAATTAGCACCTTAATAGAATACATTAGGCTTAACCAAAAGCCAATCTGGCAGGCAGCCGGTTAGCGTTACGTTTGATGACGCCACACTCACAACACAACAGCTTGAACCACTTGACTGGCGTTTTATTCTCACACACACACACATGCAAAGGAGAGACACGCACTTTTATGCTGTGTTGTATTTATTTTCTACCTGTCGATTGTCCACTGGCGTTGCCAGACATTTGGCAGCCAAAACAAGCTTTTTCTGTCCCACAACAATAAACAACAACAACCAGAACAACAACAACAACAACAACAACAACAATCGTTTAGAACACGCCAAACAAGTTTCTGCATTTGTGGAGCGGGCCGATCGCAGGCGGTCGGGCGGGTGGGCAGCCAGTCGCTTAAAAGGATATAATATACACACCAGCCAAATGAGGACGGCCCCACCAAAAAAGAAGAAAATCACAACGTTTATAGATTTTTTCGATGCAAGCCCACCACAGCTGAGATTTACAGCACTGCTAGAAATGCAAAAATAACTCAAAGCCGCAGACAAACATGCACATGAATGCTTCTGTGTGTGTATATGTGTGCGCGCATGTGTTTGGATGTATGTGCTGTAGTTCTCGTTAATACAGATGATGGAGCTGGCAAAAAACGCAACAGTCGCTTTTGCTACCACCCGCCAGCCGGCGATGCAGTATGTACCATAAATATGTACATACACAAACATACACATATGCAATATTATTCAAAGTGCAAGGCCGGTGCATGCGCACAGAAAGGAGACAGCAACAGGAGCTGACTCTGCCATTGCTGCTGTCGGCAACACGATTTCCATTGCCCTTTACAAAGTGCATGCAAAAGCTGCTGCCCTAAAGGCGCCCTCATCATGAACGAGCGCAACCGGGTGATGGTGGTGGGCTTTGCTTTGCCGCCGAAACTGCCAGAAAAATACGACCATGAGATTGAAACCGCAGCGACCCAACAACTTGCTCAGTGCGTCGCCATCAAAGGCGAGCAAGCAAATGAAAATGAAATGACATAAACGGCGGACTTTAAACGAGTGGGGCGAGCCCCAAACGTCGGCCAAAGGTGCGCGCAAGTGAGAGAGACAGAAAGAGCGAAAGAGAGCGCCATCTGCTGTGGTGAATAGAGCGATTGGCCACTGATGTGGTGTATAGAGCAACTGTGATTCATTTGATGGCATCAGCCAAAGCAGCAGTGACAGAGACAGCGACGTCGGCAGCGGAATAGGCAGCAGCGTTGACGCCGCCCTCAGTGTATATTTTTAGGCATTTATCCGACGTTCCGACTCCCGGCTAGCCATATATTAATATGTTCCGTTCTCTTTTCTCTTCCACTCTCTTACAGCGCGAACGCAAACAGCGCAAACTTTACCTTGAGGAATGGTCACTCGGCGACGATGATGCGGAAGGCGCGCGCGGTTTCAGCGTTGCCGAAAAGCTTGAGTCCTCCAAGTTTGCGCAAGCCGGCATGGTACGGGAGATGCGCGGCTGCGATCTAACAGTCGCGTAAGTTTCTAAAATTGATAAGTAAATCTACCACGCTATTTGCAACGCTTTAAACTATTTCGTTAAAAATATAATTAATTTGTGCAAATGTATGTAACAGACAGAAGACAACATCTCCGATCCCATAAAGTATATATATTCTTGATCAGCATCAACAGTCGAGTCGATCTAGCAATGTCCCTCTGTCCGTCCGTCTGACCGTATGTATGAACGCAAGGATCTCAGAACCTATAAGAGCTAGAGACAATTGCAATTTTTGCTGTTTGTTTCCGATATTCGATAACTTGCCCCGCTTCCAAGTAATCGATAAAAATCTATATCGAAGTTCTGTTTTTTGAGCAATCTTTGTAAATAATAAGAGCTAACTTGACATGTAGCTTCTAGAATAGCATATATATTTGCATTTGGTGTTGAAAGAGGAGGGTTCAGGGTATCCCCTAGTCGGGAGCTTACGACTAGAACCGCTTACTTGTTTATTAATGTTTAACTGTCTTGACAGTCACCATTTTTACCAATTTTCCTGAAGCATGCATCAACTGTACTCTTAAGAATGGTTTGTGATGTTCAAAGATAGTTGGTCTAAAAAAAAACCTTCAAAAACCCCTACTAAGCTTTCATGATATTAAATCTGAATATATATATATTTTTATTACACTTAAAAATTGAGCTTAACGTGGTTTCTTGGAATAGAAAGGTCGCTAATAACCAGAACAACTTCTGATTAGTTTGCTCGATAAGTGTCTAATCTTTTAATATTATTTTATCAATCCTTCCTTCAGGTTTCTGCAGCAGCATGGCTTCAATATACCCTTGCTGTTCCGGGAGAAGAATGGCTTGGGGCTGCGCATGCCCGATGCACAGGAGTTCACTGTAAACGATGTGCGACTGTGTGTCGGATCTCGCCGTTTGCTGGACGTGATGGATGTTAATACGCAGAAGAATCTGCAGATGACGATGAAGGAGTGGCAACAGTACTACGATAATCCGCAAAAGGATCGACTGCTGAATGTTATATCCCTGGAATTCTCGCACACGCGTCTCGATCATTTTGTGCAGAGTCCGGAGATTGTGCGCCAGATCGATTGGGTCGATGTGGTGTGGCCCAAGCAGCTGAAGGATGCACAAAAGGAGGGCACCAATTTGTTGGGTGGCATGATGTATCCCAAAGTTCAAAAGTATTGTCTCATGTCCGTGAAAAACTGCTATACAGATTTCCATATTGATTTTGGAGGCACCTCCGTCTGGTATCACATACTTAAGGGCAGCAAAGTCTTTTGGCTAATCCCACCCACCGATCGCAATTTGCAGCTGTACGAAAAGTGGGTGCTGTCCGGCAAACAGGCGGATATCTTCTTTGGCGATACGGTCGAGAAGTGTGCACGTGTCTACCTCACTGCTGGCAATACCTTCTTCATACCCACCGGCTGGATACATGCCGTCTATACGCCCACCCAATCTCTGGTCTTTGGCGGCAATTTTTTGCACTCCTTTGGCATTGTCAAGCAGCTGAAGACGGCCAGCGTTGAGGATAATACGAAAGTGCCGCAAAAGTTTCGGTATCCTTTCTTCACCGAAATGCTATGGTATGTTCTCGCACGCTATGTCTACACGCTGCTGGGCCACTCGCATCTGGAGGGCGAACCATCGGCCAGCGAGGCCGAGATGGCCGCCCGCCCCCACACACATCTCACGCACTATGAGCTCTTTGGGCTCAAGGAAATCGTCATGTATCTGTACGATCTGCCGCCGCAGAAGAAGAATGTGCCCAGTCTAGTTTTGGATCCAGTGGCCCTGATCAAGGATGTGCGCACGCTAGTTGAACGCCACTGCAAGGATCAACAAGATATGGCCGTGACGGGCATGTCCGTACTACGACCCGCCGCCGAGCACCAGCCGCTCTTTCAACTCTACGATCGCACGCGGGTCAAGCAGGAGATCAAACAGGAGATTGCACGCAAAAATGCAGAGGTCATACGCGAACAGCAGCAGCTGGAGGCGGCCAGGGAGGCCGAGTCAGAGGCTGGCCAGGGCAGCCACAACAGCGGCAACAATGGATGCAACAACAGCAACAACTCCGGCGGCATCAATAACAACAACAGCTACAGCAGCCAGGGCGTAGAGTACAGCAACGGGGTCCTCAAGAAGGAGCAACTGGAGAATGGCACGTCCAGTGGACATGGAACGCAGCCAGGTGTGTATCTTATATATATATATATTATATTGCGCGGATATTCACTTTAAATGAAAATTGGAAACAAAAGTCGGAATAACGAGAAGTATTTACATATGCAAAATAAGAAGAATTAGAAAAAATGTAGTATTGTTTTAATTGCTAGTAACATTTGCCTAAATTGATTAAATTGATCTGACCTGGCTTAAAGCTTTCAGCTCTGACCTTAAAGCTTAATGAGTTGTATTAGAGCAATAAATAGCTTTTAAAATGTAATGCTTAAATGTAGCTTTAGTTAAGATTTCTATTTAGTCTAATCAATCATTCTGAACTCTGTCATTACTAGAAGCTACCTTTGTGCTGCCCACGGACACACTCAAGTATCGTCCGCCCAAGAAGATGCACCTGGCCAATGCTGTAGCCGCTGCCGCCACCAGCAGCAACAATAATACAAGCAATAGTAGCCACAGCAATAGTCCCACAAATGTGGGCAACAACAACGCTGTCAGCGTGATTGCCACCTGCTCCAGTTATGTTGATGGCACTGGCGGGATGTCTGCTCCGCTGGACAACTGCCCGTCGCCGGGCGAGGCGGGTGCCAAGTTGTCGCCACATTTGACGGGCACCGGTCAGCCAAGGCGGCGGCGCACGCGCTGCAAGAATTGTGCCGCCTGTCAGCGTTCCGATTGCGGCACCTGCCCATTCTGCATGGATATGGTGAAGTTCGGCGGACCCGGGCGTGCCAAACAGACGTGCATGATGCGGCAGTGCTTGTCGCCCATGCTGCCAGTAACCGCTCAGTGCGTCTACTGTCACTTGGATGGCTGGCGGCAGACGCCAGTGTCGCCGCAGACCAAGCAATTGGCCTCGCTGGAGGGTCCCTCTGCGCTGATGGAGTGCTCCGTTTGCTATGAGATCGCCCATCCAGACTGTGCGCTCTCACAGCTTGATGGCACCGAGGATGCTGCCGATGCCAAGGGCATTGTCAACGAGGATCTGCCCAATAGCTGGGAGTGTCCCAGCTGCTGTCGTTCTGGCAAGAATTACGATTACAAAGTAAGTAGCTGTTCGAGTAGTGTAGAAATTAATTTACGACACTTTCAACTATTTTTTGCGAGAAACCATAATTTTAACAGCATTCCAATATCATTTGAAAGTTCTTTAACATTTATTTAACATAACAGCGCGTAAAGATTTAGCTTTCGTTCTTAACATAATTATGTTTGCTACATTATTCAAGCTTAGCATAACACGCAAATGTTACTCAGAAAACTATTGGCACGGGCTCAGAAAGCTGTTTTCCCAAAGCCATTTTGAACTTTTTTAAACGGGTCTAATATATTGATTTGTTTACTGAGCACGTGCAAATGCTTCTGTAATTACCTTAACTGAGACATTTTTAATTTCTGTCGCTTGTACATACTTTGTTATTTATCCTCAGCTATTTTACACAACAAATGTTAATAGCAGTACTCAAGAACTCAATTGCTTGACGAACTTAGGCTATTAACAGTTACTCTTTATCGAAATACTTCAATGTTTGGCTCAACTGCGTAACATAACACACAAATGTTATTAGAGCTGCTTAACAGTGGCAAAGCTAGCGTGGCTGTGGAATTTTTAATATAAATTTCTCTAGAGCGAATTTGCGCCTTCTTAACTAATTGTTGTGTCCACTCCTCAATTGCAGCCGCGCCATTTTCGCGCACGCCAAAAGTCATCGGAGGTGCGACGCGTTTCAGTTTCGCATGGCAACAATGCTGGTGAGAGTCATGAGGGGGGCGGAACAGGAGGAGGTGCTGGCGCTGGTAGCCTGTTCCCGCCACCCGTTGGCCAATATAATGACTTTGTGTTTACCAGCGAATCGGAAATGGAGTCTAGCGGCAGCGGCATGCACACAACACACTGGAAGCACGGCCTCAAGCGCCACCATCAGCTGGAAGTGAAGACGGAGCGCAATAATAGCTGCGACACGCCCTCGCCGGGCATATCGCCTAATGCGACGCATCTGCTGAGCGACAAGATAAAGCGGCGCAAGAGTGACGACGGCATCAGCGTCAGCAGCAGCATGCACGAGAGCAACGATGCTCCCTGCTCCAGCTCTATGGATTGTGGCGCTGCAGGGGCGGGTGGTACAGGTGCCGTATCCACTGGGCACGGTGGCGGAGGCGGTGGCGGTGGTGGTGGTGGTGGTGGCGGCGGGTCCCGAAAGAAGAACTCCATACGCTCACAGCTGGCGCAGCAGATGCTTAACTCCTCGACACGTGTGATGAAGAAGCCACAGTATGTGGTGCGTCCAGCGCCCACATCCAGCTCTTCACTGGGCGGGTCTGGACTCAGCAATGGCACCAGCAACGGCGTCAACAATGGCGCTGGCTCAAGTACGTCGGCGGGTTTGGTTGCTGTTGGTGCCGGTGGAGGAGGAGCTGCTGGCACCATGAGTAATATGGCCAGTAATGGCGCCAATGGGCATAGCCATCATTTGCATCACGGTGGTGGCAATAGCCACGGCCACAGCCACAGTCATAGCCACGGCCATAGCCACGGCCACGGCAGCAGCAATCACAACAGCGCACATAACTTGGCACTGGATGCCACCGTATTGAAGATCATATTTCGTTATTTGCCGCCCGAGACGCTCGTTACGTGCTGTTCCGTGTGCAAGGCTTGGTCCAATGCAGCGGTAGACCCTGATCTCTGGAAGCGCATGAATTGCGCCGAGCTTAAAATATCCGCCTCTCTATTGACGGCCATTGTGCGCCGGCAGCCGGAGCATTTAATTTTGGACTGGACGCAGCTGGCCAAGCGGCAATTGGCCTGGCTGTTGGCTCGTCTGCCTGCCCTCAAGAACCTCTCGCTGCAGAATTGCCCCATACAGGCGGTGCTGGCGCTGCACACCTGTCTCTGCCCGCCGCTGCAGATACTCGATTTGAGTTTTGTGCGGGGTTTGAATGATGCGGCCATAAGGGATATCTTGTCGCCGCCAAAGGATTCTCGTCCCGGTCTTAGCGATTCGAAGACACGTCTGCGTGATCTCAAAATACTGAAGCTCGCTGGCACGGACATCTCGGATGTGGCTGTGCGCTATATAATGCAATCGTTGCCGCAACTCAAACATTTGGATCTCTCCTCCTGCCAGCCCATTACGGATGCGGGCGTGGCACAAATTGGCACTTCGCCAACGGCTATTGCGCGCCTGGCGGAGCTCAATTTGAGCGCCTGTCGCCTGGTCTCTGAGAACTCGCTGGAGCATCTGTCCAAGTGCGAGAGCCTCATCTGGCTGGATTTGCGGCATGTGCCGCAGGTGAGCACCCAATCGGTGATACGCTTTGCCAGCAATTCCAAGCATGATCTGTGCGTCAAGGACATCAAACTAGTGGAACGCCGAAGGCTTTCACTAAGCAATAACTGGCACGACTGAACACCGACCAGGTGACGAAAGCACCGACAGCGGCACCGGCAGCAGCAGCGGCAATCGTGGACATTCACTGGCTGAAGCTGGGGCAATCTGTGGATACCCTGTAGGACAGGCTAGGGGCAACTTGTTTTAGGTTCTATGTCGCACACGCACGAAAACTTATTTTTATTTGTAAATGTTTACACATGTTCCGACTTACGCTGACGCCTACCATTCGCAGGTGACGTTATGGAACTTTATTTATTGTCAGCACTCAAGAAACACCCTCCCCAAATACGCCAGATTAACTCACATATAGAGCAATAGCCCGTTAAGAAAACAAGAAAAAAAAATAGAAAACCAAAGAATTTTGTTTCTAGTACGAAAAATCCAGCAGCAAAATGAAAACTCCCTTCGCATTGAGTGCACAAATTATATGTGCCGTACAGTAAGAACTGCCTAAAGCGTGCCGCTGTGTATACCCTTGCAGAAGATATTTAGAAGAAGAGCTAATCGGCCCTAGTTGTATATGCATATGCATTCATAATCAGTATCAACAGTCGCATCAATAGGTCCGTCTGTCTGTTCAACTAAACACCCATATCGGGACTATTGAAGCTATAGAAGTGATCGCATAAAAGTCGAGAACAACATTGTGAAAGGGGCTTATGAATTAATGCCGAATTTAGTTTGAGGAACGTTTGCAATTTGAATAATATGTGTCTTATAAGCCTTCAGACACATCGCATAAACATTTTAGGATCCTCGAGTGTATTTATGTTTTTATTATGTATTGTCTGTATCACAGTTTTTATGGACCTGTATTTTACACAGTTTAAAAGGCATTTGCACTACGTGAAACAAAAGTTTCCAGCTTAAAACTGTTTTAAATTTCAAAAAAAAAAATATAACTACTGTTGCGAAACGTGTAAAATAGAGTTTGCTCCATTTACTCGAATTTCCAAACGAACAGTGTCAATTTTCTAAATCGGACTCGAAAGCTTTACAAACGACTGATCAGACGAAGTTTTCCAGTTAATATAACACATTGTTTTTAAAGAAAATTGACAATTATGATATATGTGCAATAATGTGTAGGGTATTTCAAGCTCCAATGCGAAGGGTATTCAAATTACGGCTCTGCCGAGTATACATATGAAATCCAGATAACGTAGATATCTATGTTTAAGTTTATTTTTGTCGTTACACATATTTATTAAAATATGTAGTGATAGGTTGAGGTAAATACGAGTAGATACACCAGCATTATATACATGCGTACATACATATACATATGTGTATATACATATTAGCATTCCCGAGCATGGAGCATGTGTGTGTGTGTGTGTTTAACTGTTTATTCTATTCCAAATCGGAATCGGTGTGTCATATACGTATATACATACTTTGTATCTAAGCACATTTTAAGGATGCCAATCTTAAAGAGAGCACACGCACTAGGCATATCTGCAGAGCAGGAAGTAACCTTAGCTTAGATAAAACTCGTCTCCCTACCATCTGCAGTGGATTTTATTAGATTGACATAGTGAATACGCTTGACAAGTCTGCCCAACTGGCATACCATGTTTCCTCAGCCTTCCCCTGCGCTATCTCTCCTCACGTAGAAGCTCAAAGATCAGACACACATTAATTGGGCATGACAGAAATTCAAAATGATATATATATATATATATATATATTAAAATGTTTAAGCATAGTGATAACGTGGCTAAAATCAGTAGTATATACATATATATGTATTTGTCTGAGCAATTAAGAATAATCCATGTACACCTACATACATACGTATATTTAATGTTTTACAATAAAATTATAATAAATAGAGCATAATGTTTAAAATATATTAAAAGACATGCTTTTATTCTGATTTAAATTGTGAACTCAGACGATTTCAGTTGAAATTCTATACAAACTAGTTGAATTGATTCATTTTAACATAACATTCCTTGATTCATTCAAATATGAATCATTTGTGTATAAATGTGACAAACAATCTTGTATCGAACCTTCGACTGAATTGTGTCTCATTTGAAATTAAGCTAATTCAAGGATAAATTCAGTTTAGTTCAAAATTTCATTTGAAAACAACTTTGTAAATATTTTAAAATTATTATTTGCAATAACTTGACAATCGCAATTCCGAATATGTGACCAGAATTGTCCAGAGCTATATGAATCCTTGAAGTAATGCGCATATCGAAGCCGATTTCTGAACGTTCCCCGTTTCGAATATTAATATTTAGCTGATTTGTAGTCAGGTTCGTCGCCGCCGCCACCGCCGCCATCCTTGGGCAGTTTGCGTTTCTGTATGATACCCTGTAAAAAAGAGATGTACAAGAACTTAGTTGGCTTCCGATTAGCGGTTATTCTATGTAAACTAAGTTGCACCTGGATCTTTTGCCACTCGCGATCGAGTTCGGCCTTCTCGTTCTTTTCGGTTTTGTTTTTGCGCGTCTTGCGGCCATCCTGCATCTTGACGCCGTACTGAAAGGCGGCTTTTGGAAGCGCTTCCTTGGTGCTCATATAGTCTGAGTACTCCTCCTGTGTGTCAAAGTCCCAGCGACCAATCGGGCCCTTCTTGTTGCCCAAATCCATTTTGGTGTAGTCCACCTCATCATCCGAATCATCAATGGCATCGTTCATCTCCTCCAGTCCCGGATAGCATTCGGCGTAGCCCTCCGGTTCGTTGGCGAAGCGCGAAGCCATCGCCTTGGATATCTTTGGGGGCGGCGGTATATTTGTTATCAGTGGCTCCGGCTCGGCGGGTGCATCACCAAAGTAGGATTGAGCTGCTGCCGCCGGTTTTGGCTGATGGCGCTCATTGCGCGTGGTCGTGGGCTGATAGTCGCCGACATCATCATAGATGTTGTCGCCTAGAGCTTTCGAGGATTTGCTGCCGCCGCCGCTGCTGCTGCTGCTCGGATTGGCGCCGCTGCCAGCGCTGCTGCTGCCATGCGGTTGGCTGCGCACATGCTCCACTTCCTTTTCATAGAACAGGGGCTTGTCCTTGTCGCGTTTCTTGTTCTTCTTGTTGCGCCCACCGGCGCGTAGGTAGCTTAAGATCTGCGATAGTTTATTAATAACAATATCATTGGTGGTCAGCGTGGCAATGTCCTCGCGTGCCACAGGCACTTCATATTTGGAGCGCTTCAATGTTGTGGGTATGTCCATGTCCATCTCATCCTCCATGTCAATTACATAGGCCATGCGACCGGGCGCGAACAGCTCATTGCGCGGCACCTCTTTGGAACGGCGTGCCTGTATTAGATTATATATATTGCGTGCCATAGACCCGTTTATCGCATTTATATCCTCCGCTTCACGACGCTCCGCCTCCAGCTGCTCGGCGGCGGCCGCCGCTTCGGCCAGCTTCTCGCGCGCCAATGCGGCGGCCAGCTCCTCCTCCTCAGCCTCCTTGGAGTGCAGCTCGGAGCGCACCTTTTGGAGTAGTGCATAATCGAGACCTTTCACCAAATGAGTGTGCTTCATGTCACCACCCAAGAACTTGGACTCCTGGATTATGCGACGCCTGCGCTCCGCCGCGTCGACGCCGGATTTCATATCAGGCGCCACGGCGCGATAGGCATTTGTGCTGCTGCCATGACCGGGCGTGCTGGCGTTTTGGTAGTCCGGATTGGCGCCGTCGCGACGCTCTCGCGCTCGGTCCCTGTACTTTTCCGAGAGCTCCTGCAGCTTGACATCCTCCTGCTTCTTGAGGGCTGCATAGAAATTTTTCTTCTTGCGTCGCAAATCGTTTCGTTCGCTGCTGCTTTGGCTCTTCTTCTTTTCACCAACCGCGGTGGGCGTTGCAAACTGGGCTGAGGCCAGGTATCCGCTGCCCGCACTGCTGGTCGTCGAGCCAGGTGGTGGGCCACGCGGCGTGGCCAGCAGCTTGCGGAAATCATCGTTGGTCAGGCGCACAGAGGGCGGTGCTTCCAAATGGGCTTCCGACATGGCAATAAACGCCAAATACTTGATTTGTTGGTCTTGCAAAATAAATGATATTTATGTATAGTTTATTCCTTCTTCTTTATACTATTTGAGTAGTTATCGATTGTGTACTAATCGATGGCGTAGTTATCGATGTCTTATCAGCTGTTACTGAAATGAACCAATGCGTTCAGCTGAAAAATAGTATAAGGGCAATGTTATATATATGAGGTAAACAAAACTAGAAAATAAAATTCACTCATTGTATTTATTTTACTTTAAATACTGCTCAATCATAATATATAAATATGTTGTTGGCATTCTATTGTCTGTGTGGTCTGTTGATAACAGACTAACAGACTGCTAAGTTATGTTAAATAACAGCTGACTCTGCCAGGGCTGCTGTATACATTGAAAACATGATAAACAAAAGTCAAACCACAATTAAAAACGAAATAAAACAATAAAACAGTTTTTACAAAATGCTAAAGTTCCTGCGAGGTTTGCCCAAGGTAGAGCTGCACGCCCATCTAAATGGCAGCCTGAACACTGACAGCATCCGAGAATTGGCTGAGAAGGTATATGGCGCGCAGACGGCGGAGTTTTCGACATTGTGCGATCAGTTTGTAAAATTCGAGAAGGGAGCCAAATTGGACGAGTGTTTTGAAAAGTTTGGATTTGTGCACAAGCTGACGGCTACCAAACAAGGCCTGGAATATGCCACCGAATTGGTCATACGTGATTTTGCCAAGGACCATGTCATATACGTGGAACTGCGCACTACGCCCAAGGCAAATGAACATATGTCCAGACGTGCTTATCTGCAGACCGTGCTGGGTGCTATCAAGAACGCGCGCGATCTATACGAGATTAGGGTAAAGCTATTGCCTTCCATAAATCGTGGCGAGCCGGTAGAAGTGGCCGAGGAAATTGTCGCTTTGGCTGTCGAGTTTGCCTCAATGGAACCAGATATAATAGTTGGTATCGATTTCAGTGGTAATCCGAATCAGGGCAAATTTAAGGATTTTATGCCAGTCCTGAGTGAGGCTAAAAAACACCAGCTAAAGCTTGCCATGCACTGCGCAGAAGTTGATAATCCCCTGGAAACTAGAGAGATGATAAAGTTTGGTATGTCGCGCTGTGGACATGGAACATATCTCACCGAATCCGGGTATGAGCACATGAAGGAGGAGAATATACCCATTGAGTGTTGTCTCACGAGCAACATCAAGTCCGGCACTGTGGCAAACATTGGAGTTCATCATCTCAAGCAGCTGATGGAGGCCGATGCGCCCAAGGTGCTGTGTACGGATGACAGCGGCGTATTCGATACGACCCTCACGGACGAGTTCTTTTTGGCAACGGAAACCTTTGGCCTGACCCGGAGTCAGTGCATTGCACTGACAATGGAGGC